GCGAGCGGGTCGATGCGATAAGTGATGCATTGTACTTATTTTTAGACCCGAAATTTTGCGCCATTCGATGCACCGTTCGTGTATGATATTTACGTATGTATAATGCAAAACGCAAGAGAAAATTAGGCACGATGCGTTGGCGATTTCAAGTGTAAATAATCGCACGCAGTATATAAAATGCCAAAAATATCCGATATTTGCACGTGTATTTGCGCGTGTGTCTACGTCTGCGTGGGCGGGTGTGCGGGCAGAGCAAACTTCAACAGCAGCAGCAGCATCGGAATCGTCCACGAGGCGCGAGTCGCGTTATTTATCCGCTCGCTCGACTCGTCGCGGGAGATAACCGCGCGACATGCGTATACACAAAAACGTCGACGAACCAATAAATAAATCTCCGCGCGCCGAACGAGTCGCGATTTTCCAAGATCAACTTGGCGCTGCAAAAGCCAATGTGCAGTACCCACGCAATGCGCAGCAGTATTACCCGAAGGCCCTTACGAAGGCGTTCAGATATTATGATATCGATCATTAAGATATTGTGTAAGAGAGAGCTAAAAAAGAGAAGAAATTACGATCATTAACCCGCTGACGGTGTCGAAAGACACATCGTCGCTCGTTGCGTGAATCACATTATGATACGAGCCGTGTGCGTTATACACATGCACAAACCTACGCGCGCTGCTGCCGTTGCGTTGCATTGCGGAACTTCCGCGTTCCCGTTTATAACGTGCACAGCTCGCTGCACTACTAGTATAGTCATTGCTGCTGGTGCAGATTATCAATCAATTGCATTGGCCGATACATATGTATGTATTCGGAAGCGATAGAGCCGCGCGCGCGCGGCGATGATTGATTTAAGACGTAAGAGAATAGGTAATATTTATTTTTGTTTTCGTGTACCGACGCGGAGTAACTTACGCGTACGTAATACGGAACGAAAGAACGAACGTATCATATAGATATCTTCGTGTCTGCGCTGTGTGTTTCGTTGAGGCTCTTTGATTTTGGGATCAGTATCCTAAAGGACGAATTGAGAATTCCATGCCCAAAATGTCGGCGCTTCGTTCGTGAAAAAAAAAGTAGGCGTTGCATCGAGCTCGCACAACTCGATCTCTATTTTAAATTTCATCCAAAATATCGGCCAGTTGAACGACCTCTTTCCAGTCATAATTATATGTATTATATTATTATACTCATATGAAGGATATGCATCGCGCGTCGTAAACACAAAACACGTCGTTTTATCCCCTGGCAGCTTGAGACAACTCAAAAAATGATTTTTCACATAATGGTGCGATCATTACCTATATGTATTATGTAACTTACGACTCCTCTACCTCGTTCCAGACGCGATTATCTAAATTATACGTATTAAATTGGAGACTGCTGCTATTTATTTATTCTCGCGGCGCGGGTGATGCCGTATATAATTGCAACAACAGTAGCAGCCGCCACGCCAAGTTCGAACGGCCGGCTGTAGAGCATATATACCTATAGGTGTATGATAATAATAATAATAAGACGACTCGGCGCGGCATCTTTTCTCACTTTAAAGGCACAAACAGACCTTGGCACGTATTTTTCACGCGGCGCACAAATTGTACAATCGACTACTGTATATGCGTCTATTAATCTAGGGGTTTGTCGTTCTTTTTTATTGACACAAGATCATGCGCGTGATATCATACGATACAAGCTTGAGTTTTACACATAAGTGTACTATTATACGTGCAGTTTGAGAACTTACAAAAATCAAACGTAAAAAAAAAAGATTTATTAGCTTGCATGAAAGTTCAGGCCACCTATCGATAATTTAATTTAATTTACGTAACATAGACAGTTGAGACGTATTCGTCATTTAGAGAAGTTCGAAACAATTTTTCCAAAACTTTTGTAATTTTAATTATCGTTCCGAAAAAGTGGTTTGGACTTGTACAATTATATTTGCTTTGCCACTTGCAGATTTACAGGTTAAGGTACTCGCCATCTAGTGGTGAATTTTCAAAGTATTGTTTACGTTTTCGGTTTAAATTTTTTGAAACAGTTAAATTGTTGTTTTAAGTAATTTGAAATACACTTAACATTTGTAATATGATTGTAACAAAAAAGTTTAAAACACGTTAATAAGTATAGTAATGTATTTCCAAATATCGGCAGGCTGGCGTCTAGCGCTCTGACCCGCGTCGAAAGTCTCGAGAACAGAGGATATTATACGAACTGAAACAAAGCGACGTCTCGAGATCGTGAAATGGTTCGTCGAGCACGATATGTTTAAAAAATAATAATCGCGCCGTTTCGTTGCCCGATGAAAAAACGTCTTAGAGGACACCAAAAAAATTAAGCTGCAACGAGACACGCGTTTTCGTATATGAGACTACACGAAAGAAACATGAATTCAGAACTTGAAGCTTCTTTTCATATGTTCGATAAATATGTAAATAATGATTATATTTACGACGATAGTAATGAAATTAATAAAATAAAGAAATTGTGTCAACAATATTTCTCGATATCCGGTGTGATGATGTAAATTTTTAACACCATTAAAGTGTATTAATAAATGAATTTATGAAATTTCATTGAAATTTCAACTCTAATCTTTTGTTACGCCAATGTCTAAAAAAGTTGCATAAAGTATTTTTAATTATTGAATACGGAAGTAGCCCACGCAAAGTTACGCTCGTATACAAGAGGAGCAGTTCAATCGGAAAATGCAATCAAATACGTTATTTTTAAACGAGAAATAAACCAAAAAATTTAATTCTGTTCGTAAAATTTAAACATTTTGGTTAAAGTTTTTCTTTGAAAAATCCATTATAATTCGATCAAAATTAAAGCCAGCTTCCTCCACGAGATGGCCAGTACCTTCATCTGTAAATCTGTAAATGGCAAAATCAAAATAATTGTATAAATCAAAGAGGTTTAATCGAAGAACTTTTGTACAAAAGATCGCCTTTCTCGACTCTTACATTAATTTTAACTTAAAAATTGTATGTAGCGATCGGTTGCGCTCCGATGCGCGACCAAAGAGAGCCGAGCACGGCGAGCAGATCGATCGATTTCTGTAATGATATAGCCTACGTCGATTAATCATGTACGCATGTGTGCGAGGATTAAAATCCGTGCATAAGTTATCTCGCAACGCCTGCACTCGTGATTATCGAGTCGATCGAGCGGGTAAAAGTCGACCGATCGCAATCGAATATCGGGTCATGATGTGTACACTCAGGTGTGCGTTACGATTGCATTTTCAGTAATATGAGCATAAGCATATCGATCTTCGAAAAATCCAAGACGAAAATTTTCATTTATGAAAAACCGACCAAGTTCCGATATCATCGTCTTGCCTCCCACGCAGCGAGTCTGCAGAGCAAAAAAAAAAACGAAATTCACTACGTATATATCGATTTACGCACGCACACCGGTTGACGGTAAAAAGACGCATGCGAACGTGGGTTTATTAACGGTCACGCGCACCGGTGTACCGAGAGCCTCTGCTGTACTGTACTATACTAGTATACATATAGTAGATAAAATACGCCAAACATTCGCGTATAATATTGCAGTGTGCTTGGACGCCCTACCTAACCTCGCTCAATTCACTGTTCTCGTCTCCATAGAGCGAGGCTCGACGACGCACGCACGCATATATACTCCACAGACACGGTGTTTTTGTGCGCTAGATAGTTTATGAGTCATAGAGTACGCACACTCGTGCACACTCGTACACGCACACACACACAGACGCTTAAAATCTGCGAGGAGAGCGTTGTCATCGACGCATAAAAACCAGTCGGTGGACTATCAAAAATCCGAGGCGAGATAGGGCGCTGTCGGTGTCAGTGCGTGCAGTGCTACGATATTGCTGTCTTATTCTGTGTTGTGTTTCTCGTGTAGTCTCTCTATCAGTTCGGTCGAGTGCCAATAATAAAACGCATAAATAAGCTTTGCGTTACACAAACGATATCTCGTAACTTGTTGTTCTAATTAGGTGAGCATCTTTCAGAAACAGTTTACATAAAGGAAACACGCGAAGAGCAGCGGTGGCGGCTGCGGCGGCTGCTACAGCTACAGAGGGCTGTGTGTATACTATTTGTGCGTTGTGTGTTGACGATACGCGAGAAAAATCAATACGAGGCCAAAGGGCATCAGCCCGAGGCACGCCGTAATAAAATTTTTGGATCTACGCCCGAGGTATTCCGCGCGCTCCGATCTCTCTCTCTCTCTCTCTCTCTCTCTCTCTCTCTCTCTCTCTCTCTCTCGGAGCTGATGATCTATACGCCCAACAACATTACGTATCCTCGTCGTTTATTTGTATATTATAAGGTGCCGACGATCGATGACGATTCGACCGACGACGACGTCTCGAGTCCCGAATGACACTCGCATATAGCAGTCTGAGATAAAGAGCTCGTCAGTTCTTTCTTATCGATTATCGAGTACAGTCATTTTTTTATTGTTGATTCGGTCGTTGTACCTATTTTTTCTTCTTTCTTCGTAACGTGAACTTCGACGATTGATTTTATTGCTGAGAGGTGATCCCGTTCTGCTTGGGGAATATAGTATATTTATTCGACGTGAGAGTGCAGTGACATTAAAAGTTTGACAGTTTACCTAAAATTCTTAAAAAATTTTATATGTAAAGGATTTTTCGTTGAATCTTGTTTACGCCTCTTTTTCATCTCATGAAAATTAAGGATTCAAAAATTTCAATTTATTTTTTTTATCAGATCCAACGACTTATATTTACACAAAATGATTTTAAACAATCTTCTACTTCTAAAACCAATTTGTGTCAATGGTTTAGTTTTCAGATCAAATTGACATTTAAATGATGACACATTGATGTCTTATTGATAATTAAAATGTTTGGCAAATAGATAAGAATTGATGCCAAAATAAATGATCTATTTTCAAACTCTTAAACATAATCATCAATTAGATCTATTACATGATTCGTTTTAAAGATTTGATTTATTAATGAAATTAATTATTTTCAGACATCATCTTCAACTAAAAAAACCACCATGACGACAGCCGCAAAATTATATGGCAAGGATCTGAGTGAATACGATGATGTAGACGTAGATGAGCTATTGTCTCAGCTCACTCCTGAAGAGATCAATATTTTGGCCAAAGAAGTTGATCCAGATGTAAGTGATCTTATTGTAGTATTACAATTGCTTTTATGCTAGTTATACTAATGTTTCAACTTTTATAATTTCAGGACAGTTTTATGCCACCTTCACAGCGTTGTAGCTATGAGTGCACTAAGACTCCAACAGGACCATTAAATAGAAAAAAGTTGATTGAGCACATCAATAAACAAGCACTGGAAACACCTGATATTCCAGAAATAAAGCCTTATGTACCAGGAGTTGTTAGAGGAAAGAAAGTTAGTATTAGAAAAATTGACTTATATTTTCTAACCATACCTCAGATCTTATATAATAAAATTACACATCTTTTCTACTTTTATCAATGCATTTAAACTCAAATTGTTATTATAAGACTTTCAAAATTATATGAAATTAGATATAATATTTTTAATACTTATCTAAAATACTAAAATTCTGATTTATTTTTAGTGGATACCACCTGTCACAGAAAGTTTGAAAGAAAAAGAAGTAAACGAACAAATTGCCATTGATTTGGGTGATGAATATGAGCAAGCTCTATCTAATGCCACTGAAGATGAAATCATTGATCTTGCCGGTAAATTAATTTATTATAAAATAAAAAAAAGTTAAATTTTGAAATAATTATAAAAGTGAAACTTACTCTTTCCATTGTGTTGTTTAGCTATTCTTGGTTTCCATTCGATGATGAACCAAGATCAATACCATGCATCTCTATTAAACTCTGGGCAACCCTTGGGTATGGGTTGGGATGGTATAACAAAAGCAAGTCAACCAAAAGTTTTCCCTATGGATCCCCCTAATGATACAGATGTTGATGACACTATAAGAAGAGTTCGTGAGGATGATCACTTATTGGCTGACGTTAACTGGAATAATATTAAGGTACTATTGAATGGTGTATTATTATTGTTTTATAATAATATTTATCCACAACAAATAATAATTTCAATATTTTACTTATTGTTACAGAATATTTCAGATGAAAAATTCATGCAACTTTTTGAAGCTATTGAGAATAATACACATCTTGAAACACTCAGTTTAACAAATGTAGGGCTTACAGATAAGGCTGCTCAAAGATTAGCAGATGCTTTAGAAAAGAATTCTACTCTGCGTGTTCTTAAGTAAGTGTTTAACAAAGCATGCTATAAATCAAGTAAATATGAAACTTCAAATAACAATAATTTTTAATTTTTTAGCGTGGAAACTAATTTCATAAGCCCACCTGTGATAGTTAAACTCGTCAAGTCTCTTTTAAATACAAAGGCTATTGAAGAGTTCAGATGCTCAAATCAGGTATGGTTTAAATAATTTATTACTTTTTGATTGAAGAATAAAAAGTAATTCTTTTTTTTCATTTATTTTTACAGAGGTCTCAAGTTTTGGGCAATAAAATTGAAATGGAAATCACACAACTGGTAGAGCAAAATCCAACATTACTTAGACTTGGACTCCACCTAGAATTCAACGATGCTAGACACAGAGTGGCAGCGCATCTTCAGCGAAACATTGATAGGAGTAAGTGTTATATTTCTCTTAAATCGATTTATTGGCAAATCATTAATGAATTTTAATAATAAGTTTAACATTTTATTTTACTTTATTAATAAGGTATTTTATGATAATTCATAACAATTCAAAGCTTACATTTTAGATATAGCCTGGCTGGAGAGCTGCTGAATATTCATCTTAATCGTGTTTAAATTACGTTTTAATGACATTATTATTTACAGGATACATTTCAACTATAGTCATTATTTTTATAAGCATTTCAATAGCATAAACAGTCTATTAATATCAAGCTTGATCAATCGATTCACTTCATTCTATAATACAAGCTTGAAACTATTTTTTTACTAGATGGAAGCAACTGTATGGCTGAAAACGAAGATATCATGTTCAAAATGTTCTCCTAAGTCTTCTGAATCATTTAATTGCTTCGTAGTCACCACACCTTGAGCTTTAATTCACTATACTTGCAAATTCATCCCGCTATCTCATCTCCATTACTTTTCTATCGACTTGGAGGTAATTATATAATCCTGGAATGGCATGTGCCCCACCCCACAACCAAATTATGTTCTTCCAAAATATCTGTGACCCAATTTTTTTCTGATTCAAACAATACCATTGTTTGAAATTGCTCTCCTAAGAATGAAGTGACTAATTACCAAGTAATTATAAAAAACAATAGGTTTATCCTGATTTAATAAGAAGAAGGCATTTTGATAATCTTCAATTATTGACGTAAATTATTTTTTTACACTGGAATAAAATTTTTTCCTCTTATTTCAGTAAAACGATTGAAAAATCCAGAGTATACCGTTAGTTATACTGGTAGGACACGAATTTTTTTCTATATGAAATATATTTTTGCTTCCCCCTTTCAAGCTTTCAAGTGATTATCCTGAAATCCACCCGATTTTTCTCTGATACTTCTCAATTTATATGTACTTTTTGATCGAGTCACAGTGGTATAGTATTAGAATTGCTTATGCTTTCGAGCTTTTTGAATCTCCCCTGTTATCTATGTCGATATTCTCCAATATTAAAACTTACTTTCATGTATCCCTTCAATTCTACTTCAAAAAATCAGTTTGGCTTAAATATATCATATATTCGTCAAAATTATTTTGACTGATATGGTTTGTTCAGTTTGAACATCTTGTTCATTCATTTGTAAAAATGATCTTCACAATAGTTATCCATTGATTAAAAAGCAAAATAAGTTCATTCAAATTCAATGCATTTAAAGAATTATTCTTACTCACTATTTCTAAAAAAAAATTCATTTTGCATTCTAAGATAACGACTAATCAACAATTCATCATAATTTTGATGAAATCTACTGATTCGGATATTTTTTTACTTTTTAAAATTGTTTAGTTGTACGCGTTGAGAAAAAAAGTTATAGACAAAAAAAATTACAAGGACATGAAGCAAATGAAGCTGACACGAATAAATGAGTTTGGAATGGCAGTGAGTAGAATAAATGTGAAATATACAATTTGAAGTCAGTTTCATAATACTGTAAAATGATTGAAAAAGTGTTGACTTGTTCAAATTTTTCATGTCCAGTTAATAAGCCTCATATTTTTTGTTTTCTTTTTAGTCACAAATTTTTTTGTTACGTAAATTAATTCTTTAGTGGCAAGTATTAATGCATCTTTTAATTTAAAATAATTGTTCGTCCAATAGGTCAAAAAGCAACATTTTTCATTTTATGTTTTTTGATTGAGCTCGCATAAGCAAGTTTCGTTTAGCAAAATAAGTTAATTTTCCTTTTTTAATTTTTATTTAAGTAAGGGCCGTTTATTTTTACTTTTAGATAATATAGTTATACAATTAGATTTAGAACATAATTTTTTATTTTGAGTTTTTAAGTACACATAACAAAATAGGAGGATAAACTATCAAGAGTTCGCGCTACACTACCATGGATAGGAGACACAAACATTTTTTTCAGATGCTCACATATTTTACTTACAATTATTAAACATAGTCAACAAGTCATGAATATATGTATAATATATTTATAAAACAAAAGTACTTTGGAAGGATTTCAAAAGCAACAACTGAACGTTTAGTTGAAAGTTATTTGTATCTCAAGCAAATGTAGTCTTTGTAATTGATATACACATTCTGCTAAGATCAAGCTGTTGAAATTCTTTCACTTAACAATAACTATCTATTTTTAACACTTAGAACTCTTTATCAAACTTTCTCGTAAAATCAAGTTTTCTTCCTTTACTTGAAATAAAAAAATCGCTTACATTCGTTTCAAGACCAAAATCCATCATTTTGTTTTTTTTTACTCTTTCCCAACAGTACGGAAAGACCTACAATTGCGATTGCAGTTCCGATTCTTTAACATGAACCGGAGGAAAGCTGCCCGTTATTAAACGAAGGTATTCATGAAACTCCTGCTTAATTTGAGATTTTCGATATTTTATGTTGTATTTTTTATCGCTGACAACATTCATGCTTTTATGATTTTATAACTGATATTTTAACTTTTTTAATTTATGATGATGATTATTTTGATATTTATAAATCTTGCTCTTTTTATAAACCATATGTAAACTCAAAAATTCTTTATTTGCTATTTATAAAACTTTTTATGAGTTATTAGCTCAGTAATTAAAACATTTGAGACATTATGAATTTCTCAAATTCATGTAAAGTAATTCTTCGAATTCATCCGAACATTGATGAATTGTTCTATCATTGTTTTTTTACTCGCATGCAGCTTCTCTCTATCTATGCAATTTCAAAAAAAAAAAAGAAAACAACTCACATCCAATATTTTTGAAATTTATTTATTGTTTATTTTTAAAATTTTTAAAAATTGAAAACTCACCAATAATAAATCATTGATAAAATCATCATAATATTTTGATTTCAAGTTTCGATTTTGTAACTTTTCTTTCATTCGTTAAAAATGAGATTATCTTTATTTTACGTAACAAACATTTTCGAGACTGGAAAGCTCTCGTACTGCGTGAAAACTTCTTTCTTTATCTTTTTTTTGCCGTTGTTTACAGACTGAAACTCTATTTAGTTCGGAGCACATGCGAGAAATGTTATTCTCTACAAAGCATGAAAATCGGAAATGGTTGGGTCATAAAATTGAGAACCATAGAAAAGGAAACAGTATACAAAGCTTCTTAACTTTTTTCTACGCTATTTTTTTGTTACATTCGACCGATAAATAGCACGAGCGTATCTATAAACAAGAATCGCTGACTGGAGATGTTATATTTTGTGTTCCGATGTTCATGCTCTGTTCTTTATAAATTAAAAAATTCTCATTCGAATGTCGACTTCACTTTATCTTTAGAAAAGGTAAAATATTCGAACCAAGATAGCAAGATAATAATTGCATCGAACAATTATTAGCTATCATGCTGTACTAACTAAGAACTTGTATCGAATTTTAACAGCTTTTTACTTCATTCAACCCCTGTTATGTTTGGCCAAATTAACAGTTTGGTTTGTTTTTTAATTAACAGCATCTGTTTTCTAGAATGAGTACCAAGATGAAAATAACAATTGATTATTATAACATGAAATGTGTGTTATGTTTACGATTTACCATAATAATACTAACGATTTTTGCAATTTTCCAGGCTTGTAAAATATTATACTATACATTATAGTATATTTTTTCGTAATACGATTATATATTTTAAACTGCTTCAACAACAAAGTAAAATGAAAAAAAAAAAAAAAGAAAATTCATTAACTTGACATGTATTAAATTTACAACTTGAAATCTATATTTTTTAATGACTTACTAAATGTACTCTTTCCGCATTTGCTAAAGATATTTTTCTTTCCGATTGAGTTATAATGTTGAACTAGAGCTTAAGTTAGTTTCTTTTCTGCGTTTCAATTAAATATAAAACGTTGTTAAAGCAGCTTAAAATTAATATTTTTTTGCCTTTTGATTATGCACAAAAAACCAAGCTTTAATCTCTCAAGTTAAGCTTTCTGTTCTAATTAATTGGGGGTATCTGTTGCAGTACGGCAGTCCCGGCTCGAGGTTGCGACATCCTAAATCTAGAAAAAAACAACCACCATCACCACAACAACAATCAACACAACACATTTGTTGCCTGTCCTATCTATATAATCTATCACTATGACTAGTTATATTATGCTAAGAAAAAAAATTGCACTCGCCTAGAATATATTGTATTGTGTAATAATTGCAAGGAGACAAGCAAAAAGCTTAAACTTTTTACTCGAAACACTCCTGAATTGCTGTATATATTATAATTATTATGAACTACTCAATTTTAGCACACTTCTACTATTATATATTATTATAATAATTATGAAATGCTATATATTGTTCTTTTGAGAAAAAAAGCTAAGTTGAAAACACGTAAAAAATATTATAATTACACACGGTTAACGAAAATAGTTTATATACATTATATAATATCGAAAAAAAATACCGAAAAATAATTGGATTAACTAGATATAATATATCTATATTTACAATGATTAATATTCATGCGTTCGTGCGCGATAAATCAGCTTTTAATTATTGATCGACCAAACCTCGAAGTTTACTTGTACGTGTGTCGGTCTACGTGTGCGCTCTAGTATGTATGTGTTTATGCATATCTACTACTGCACCATAATATATACGTGGCGTGTTTTTAGTTTAAGACGATGTTGACGACGTCAAAGCTTGGGTCTACCTGATGTATGTATGCTAGACTAAATGTATCTACCATGGAATACATAATGTAGCCCAATCAACGCCTTACATGCGCATCGTTTCTGACATTAACTCTCTCTCACTCACTCTCTTCCTCACCCACGTACACACACAGGCTCACATACACGTACACGCGTGCTGCTTGATTGCAGGTGTATCGTGATTGTATATGTTTATGTACACGTGTATACAAGATAAGCGATTCATGTGCTGCTGAGCTTTGCTGTACGAAATATTTAGGAGATAGAGGGTGACATAGAAAGAGAAAAAAAGATATATATCATAGTTGAGTGTATATGTGTATAATCAGGCTGTGCCTTTGTCAATGTTGAAAGAACAAATTAATATCACATGTTATCGAAATTTTTTAATGCACCGATGATGTCAAAATTGTTTTACCACAATATGCACAAATCGATTGTACTAATTTGTGCTTGTTACTTCGATTTTTTAATGAAGAAACTGCGCTTTTAAACAAAAAAAAGACCCAGCTTATGACATGCAACGATAATAAGCTCGAATTAAAAAAAAATTACGAAAGAAAGAAATGAAACACACAACACGTTGTAACAATTTTTTACTATCCCATATTTAAAAAAGAGTATTAACGTTGTAGCAGCTTTCTATGTGTCAATTGTGTCGAGCGTATATTTGCTGACTGCCAATCGTCCGTGAGATATGTAACGTCCCTCATGATTATTATTTACTGCTGTACTCACTTCATTTTTTTTTGTTACGATGTAAGAAATTTTATTTTTTATTTGTTAAATGTTTAATCGAAGAAAATGTAACGACTAAATCAATGTTTTATGCTCGCCCAAGCTTAATATTTACACACGAGAATATTTTCATCTTGCATCAGAAAAAATGTTTTATGTGTACGTTGACGTACAAAGGTATTTTCCACCTAATCAGAACTTTTAATTCAAGAGACAATTATTAAATGAAAAATTATGATACAAAACAACACACTGCTTTGGAAAATGAAAAATTTTTAAACACAAATAACGAAATACATATTATAATAGAAAAAGTACATGATGTAATAACGCCTACTTTTGAACGTAACATTAAGCGTAATATTATATTATAAATTTATTATAATTGTAAAATATAAAAAAAGTATCATCATTGCTAAGAAATATGAAAGCGTCACAAGCTCATTTTAATTCCGTATTCATTGCATAATGCAAAAATAAAAATACTTGCGGAACTTGGATGCGCCACTTTAATTTTATATAAGTCAGAGAGAGAGAGAGTATCTGTAATGTTTACATTATTACTTATTTTACGATTTATGATTATTATTCATTATTACGACTATTATACTTTTTATTACATCTAAGATTACTCTTCGTTGCGTGAATATATTGCTCTTAATTGTAATATCCGAAAAGTAAAGGGAGACAGAAATTTTTTAACACTTTGTTGCAGGTATACATTTACATTATAAGTTGTTCATATCGTAGATTTGTTACGATTCATTTTTTTTTCTCTCCCATTCATGTGCGCAGATAAATAGATGAAAAAAAAAAGATTGAATAATAAACGTTGAAATAAGTATACATGAGTTCATGATTTTATAGAAACTTCCACAAAAAAAAGAATGACTAACCAAAGTTTCAGTAGAATAGTATAAATTATATATCTTAGAAAAAAATAAAACGATACAATAAAATCGAACATGGTAACGAAAGACGTTCGACTGCGTTATTTCTTCATTCGTTTACTGTATACAACATAGCATCCCCCCTGTCAACACGTACAACTGTCGGGTATTACCTTCGTTCGCTGTATAAAATCGAAAAAACATCGACGTTTATACATCCGTGCGATATCTTACTCGGATCGCAATCTCGGCGAATTTCGCATGGACGCATGGAAACGGGTGTTAAACTAGGCGATCCTCCCTGTGCACACGACTGGCTATTGTTCGGTATATATATCTCGGAATTCATAGCTTTTGTCTGTCGGTAAAACCGTTTCGTTTTCCCCGGCAAAGTATATGTATAATGTAATCGCGTCGTCGCATGAGTCGCAGTCGTCGTCACTCGCTGACGGCGGTGCATCAGGCAAAACACGCGAGTGTGCATATACACAGACGCGGGGGCATACCGGGCGATGAAGGGTAAATCAGCAATGACACGCGATCGCTTTAGATTTCGGGAAAGTTTTCGGCGCTGATCTTTGCGTGATGATACGTTGCCAAGAGAGAGAGAGAGAGAGAGAGAGAGAAAAGTTAACTCCTTAGACGCGCGAGAACGTATACGTATCGGGCGAATTTTCAGACTTTTTTGACGTGTCTCGGTGTCTTTATGCATAACACGAGAGAGAAAAAAATCGATCCCGCGCATTGTCAGCGCGAAATCGACGACGTACTATATCTTATCAAAAGAAATAACATTTCGTAATGAGCTTGGTTCTTCGGGTCGTGATCACAATTCAGGACGGGTTTGAGGCGGGCGCGCACAAGTGCAAGATAAATATTTTCCTCGATGCAGAGATGATATTTTTTTTGTCCCAAACAGAAACTAAGCGATCTTTTTTAAAAATTTTTTCTTTTTGTCAAACGGCGCGTATAAGAGCGTCGAGCTTATAAGGGAGAGAACATGAAAAATTTCCGTTACATGATGCAAAAAGAAAAAAGAAAAAATGGATAGCACAAAAGCACATGCCGACATTCTTATGCATTCCGGAAAAGGCGCGCCAATAGATAAACTCAAGTTATGTACGTATGTACCAAGGATAACTGAAAAATAGTACTATATGCAGGTAAAAATGTATTTTTTGCCCGTGCAAACTGAGGTAAAAAAGGGCGTCGGAAAGTTAAACTCGCGCAGTTGTCTCTCAGTTTCCATTAGTTACAAGAATTCATTTTACTATAGCCATGTCCCTGCAGATAAAAAGTACAGGATTCTATTTACAAATTGGTAAATTCTCTTTTACACCACCGGGTATCAGTTTTAAAACAAGTGCGAGCAATGGAGCTTTCAATGTGGTTACATCGAACTTTCGAACGCGATACACCATCTATCAACTTTTTAGGAACAGTACTCGCTTGTTTATAAATGTTCATAATACAAAAGAAAACAAAGTCAAATTGTATACCTTATTTTACCGATGAATAGTCCATCATTATTTCTTTCTATTATGAAGCAAAATGAGGAATTCATTTTACCCTAAAAACTTTATAATAACCTATTGTACATTACTCGGATAAGCGGAGAGGCCTGCGTACTCTATTACCCAAAAAAAAGTTTGTTACGAAGTTTCAAAAATTTTACCGTACACGCAGAGCACTAGACCAACGTCGAGTCAAGATTTTTCATCATCGACACACTGCCGCCGCTACCTGACGCAGTTTGTCGTTTGAAAGGATGAAAAAAGCAAAATACGAATCGAATTCGCATTCGTTATTCTTTTGCACGTATACGCATTCGCATGATAGAAGCTACTCGCAGAGTTTGTTTTATCGCGTCGCACTACTCAATTCACGCTATATTACGACTCTGCGACAGCACAAAAATTTGCGATACGGTTTTATGCACGCGCGTGGGGCGTCGTCGTCGTCCTCGTTCGAAAAACGCAAATTTTAGTTTACGATTTTTGCAAGAGAAAATTCGTCGAATAGTCGATTCTTTTATTTTTTTAGTCTATTCTCGTAATAAATTTTTTGTTTTAGTTTTGGAAAGTTTTCCTATCACGAAATGTATCGATGTCACAAATTTTGATTTTGATTTTTTGTAGGCCGAATGCGCAGAACGGGACGAGCACCGAGAAATTGTACCATTGGACATCTTAGCAGGCCCAGAGGTAGCCTCGAGACCGATTGATTCGAAAAAAGGAATTTTATTTGTAATTAATTGTTAGCTTATTTTACGAGTAATCATGAACAATAAATCAGGATCCGTCTATGACTTATTCTTAAATGCATTTTTATCGAATACGCATATGATACAAAGTTTGAAAAAAATGGAAAATGTATTAAATTAAATTAAAAGGTATATCACTTGTTGTAAATTATGTGTAATATTTATTCTGTATGTTCAGTAACTGACATTGATATATATATGACGATGTGATGAAAATTTCAGTATACGTCTGTGACGTAATATAAACTTGATAGCAAATTTCCTAAAATGATTGTAATGAATAAAAAGGCGCTAAGAATTCCGTAAAAATTGTAAAATCCTACAGGATGCTTATTTTTTCTTTCCCAGTCCACCGAGAATGCCGGTCACCGGTCCCAAAACCTACGATCACATTCACATTTTATTTTTCATGTAAAGCTTTGCATGATACTTGATGTAAAAAAAACCTTTACCTTGGTAACTCCGCCGAGTCCACCCTCGCTGCCGCCCTTTCCTTCCTCAGAGCTGTCGCCACCACCGCCGCCCAACAATCCGCCCAAGAGACCGCCACCATCACCTCCCAACAGTCCACCCAACAGATCTGCAAATGTAAAATGTATACGACGTTATTTGCACTGTCCAATAAGCTTTCGACGAGAGAATCTCTCAATAATGACCTAGCTGAGCGTTGACGGGCTCCGAGTGAAAACTCAGCACGGCGATGACGAGGAACGCGAAAAGCACGATGGACCTCATTATTGAAACTTTTGCTCTTTTCACGGCTAAAAATCACAATGAATTCACTTGCTGCTGCTGCTGCTGCTTCGGTTTGCCAGACTGCGGCAAAGTCGTTTACTTTTATACTATTGACGCTCGAATTTCGGGTCGAGTGATAATTGTAATAATATTTAAACGACTTTTGCATTATAAATTTATGATATCCGAGCAACAAAACTGCGTGTGACAAAATATACGTATAGTGCACAATGTGCATTATAAGTAAATCACTGGGTCGTATATCATGAAAATCTGTATGCTCTTGCGCAAAGGCGTCAGACAATAAAAAATAACATTTTTTCTACTGCGTTTCGGTTGCGCTTAAGACGTTTTGTTTTTGTCGGCTCTGGTTACTCGATTGTACTCGTAAAGTTTCGAGATTATCTACATTCAATGATTGCCCCAATTTTAAATTTTATAAACAGATCATTAATAAAATTGTCATATTTTGATCCAAGGATATATTATTTTGTATTAATAAGTTAGTAATAATATTTGAAGTTCATTTTATCATCGCAACGGTGATGATTTGGGAGAAAAATTATATTGCACTATCACTGCAGATTTCGAGATTTGATTTTCAAGTATTTGATAAACAATGTTATCGCTTTATTCTCCGCTCTAAGCCACCTTTATAATATGGTAAATATAACTGAATGTTGCATAGGCTTTTTGCGGATGAGTGCACATTTTATTTATTTAGCGAATCAAAATTGAATCTGATTGATTCTATGCTTATTTTTTAGATAACTTTGGAAACAATTTCATTGAATATTACAAAAAAGTTTATCATGTAACGAATTTTACTCAACTACTTTTTGCTGGAAAAATTCCTTTATAATCTACATAAAATTATGATTTTTCAAGCTGAAAAGATAACATTGCTTATCGGTATTTTGCCAAATATTAGTTTCAATGAAAATTTCAATCACCTTTTCTTTTACTTCCAAAAACAGTTATTTTTCAGATAAACGACTTGATTGCATATTGAATGAACTTTTGTTACTTCCTACTATTGGAATTATGAATCATTCTCTTCCGAGCTTTTACCGGATTTAATAATATATTAATATAAATTTATACAACTTTTTCTAATTAATGAGTTTTGTAGCACCCTAAAATAAATTTAATGTGAGAAAAGTCTGTATTTATAATTAAGTAAAATCTTTCACTAGATCAAAATTTTCTTGGTGGTGTCCTATGAATTTACAGAGAAAAGTGAATGAAAAACTAGTTAATAAATTAAATACCTTCGTATTTATATATGTAACAATTTTGAGGTAAGTACTTGTTGGTGAAAAAATCGCTAGTCTATGAATTGTTGCCATAGCAACGTTTATAATTGAATCAGTTATACATACAATATGTGAAAATTATACAAAACTATCATACATGAAATTAGAAGGTTTTGTGTATAACATTTTTTACGTTTTATCGAGTCGGACTTGTTACAATCAATTTTGTAACGTATACGTTTAATAATAATAATAATTATTATTATTATATAATATAAGCACACAATTTTTATGTGGACAAATCATTATAATATCTTGCTATGGAGTTAACATAGAATATTTTATACTCTATGATTTTTCTTCCACTTATGAAGGTTCACCCCTTAGTAATTGAATAAGTTAAAACACCGTTAAACAATTTTTCAGGGATAAAATACTGAATCTCTTGAAATCACTATCATTATTGGTAATATATGCGACGTAATTAAATTTATTGCTACGTACACGTTTCTTAGTACAGTTAATGAAAATTGTATTAAATTCGTAATTGACAAATTTAATTTATCCAATTGAAGTTTTGCATTTCAAATTTTGACAATTAAAAATAACTATTGCAAATGTGTCTAAATGCTAATTTGCACGAACTTTTCATTTTATGGAAAATGGTCATTAAGTAGCTAAAAAAAGAACGGAGATATGTTTCAGATCTATTGACCCCTTCATAAGGTTGCCAAAGTCCTGTCATAGGATGTTGAACTTTTCTACCTAAAATGTTGTGAAATAATTTATTCTATATGAAAACAACAAAATTTGTTACGATATTTATCATTCAAGGCTTTGTCACTATAATTAAAATTACACATTATTTCCTTATCTCACTAAAATCATTACGAAAATTTATAATCATAATTTTAAGACGCATTTAAAAATTTAATCTTACATTAAATGTTTTAATTATTACCGTTATTAATTTTTCTAAGGTAAATATCGTTATATTTCAACGACAATAAAAAATCTTGTTATGCAGTATTATCATTTATTTTGTTAATAATAATTAATTATTACAAAAAAAGTCAAAAATACTTCCCATTCTAAAGTATCATTTATGAATGCATTTCCATCTCTTCAACCTAACAAGCCATTTACTAAGGGTAACCCACCGGTAAGCTAAAAATTGAAATTAATTAAGTACAGATTCATCATACATGTTTAAAAAATAAAAGATTTACCCCTTTTAAGCCACCCTTTACAGTTCCTTTCACTAGACCTTCTCCAAGACCTTCTGCTACACTTTGTATGGAACCTTTGGTCAAGCTCCCTACAAGGCTGTTGGTTGGGTCCTCGCCTATTGGTAGAAGATCTTTCACTACACCTGAGTCACCTTTTCCAGTGAGTCCGAGCGATGTCAACAAACTGTCTGTTATATAAATCAAATTTTATGTCTGAGTAAACGCGATATTTAAAAAGAATTATAGTAATTAATGTCACTGACTTTTCCTACTTTTTTTGGAACTTTTTTTTTCATTTCCAAGAAGACCACCGACAGCTAAAATAAGCAATATGTATTTTTCAAATAACAGTTCTCGTTGATGGAATAGGATTTTTACCTCCTCCATTATTTCCAAGAAGACCGCCAACGACACCTTAAATAAACAGTTTTCATGTTCCTTGTTCTGCTATTAAATAATTAGTAGAATTTTAACTGTTCAATTTTTTACCTTGTCCACCTTCGCTATTTCCAAGAAGACCCCCAACTACACCTGATATCCAAATTTTCATAATTCAATTTTTCATAATTCTTAATAAATTTTTTATAAAACTTAAAGTTAGTGTTATTTTATTATTTAACCTTGATTTCCTCCATTTCCTCCAAGTAGACCGCCGACAACACCTTAAATAAACAGCTTTCATGTTCCTTGTTTTAATGTTCAATAATTACTAAAATATTTATTGTTTAATTTTTTTACCTTGTCCACCTTCGCTGTTTCCAATAAGACCCCCAACTAAACCTATGGAAAAATTTTAGTATGAATATCTATATTTTAACTGTTTATTAAAAGTCTATGAATAAAATATTTACCTTGACTTTCGCCTTTACTACTCCCTCCTCCTAAAAGACCACCTACTATTTTATGATAAAAATTCAGTTAGAAGAAAAAAATCACATTATTTATTCAAATTATAATGATTTAATTACCCGCACTACTACTTGATGAACTACTTTTTTTGCTTCCCCCTCCACCTAACACCCCATTGACTACTCCCCCTGAAATTGAAAAAAATACTATAAATTGAGTTTTTATTAACTATTTTAAGATTAATTACATCATTAAAGTATAACATTAACACTCTGATTTTTTTAAATTTACTATTTTTTCTTCGTGGGTTTTTATGTGAATTATTTGTTGCAATGTTACTTACCTAATTGCCCAGCAACGATATTCATGAGAATGAAATTAAAAGCTAGAACAAAAATTATTGACGAATAAGATGAAATCATGATTACGGTGAACGTCAAGTTTTCTCCTGTGGCGAATACTAATGGCTGACTGAACGTGAAATTTCCGAAAAACTCGTACTTACGAATCTACAATTTAAAGACTTATCTTGTCGAAAAATTTTTTCAAGTAAGCTGTAATAATATTTAATCAATAAAGATGCCTTTAAATCCTTATCATTATTGTTTAGTACCGTAGTGAAATTAGCATCGCATTAGCTGGCTATTAAGGTGTAATATAAGTATGTAGAATTGGTGGCGGTGACAGCACGTTTGACATAATCAAATAATTTTACCTAGGGATATACAAAACTATATACTCACTTTTTATTATAAACTATTGCAAAAAAATTTGTTTTTTATCAATATCGATGATAAATGCTTATAGTTATGACTGTGACATTATGCTGAATGGAGTATAAGGAAAATATTCATTAAATTGTTTTCAGAGTTTTTTAAACAATTATTTTTATTTACGTTTTAATTATATCTTATTATAGACTGTTTCATTGTAAATTACTAGATTTTAAAAATTATTGAAATATTTGTTTTTAGTTTAACTCATATTAGATATATTTCTTTCGTATTACGTCAATATTATTCAACTTTCATAAATACCATTTTTTACCAAGTCCACCAATACCAGTACATTGAGCGTTGTGAGGCCAATCACACACGTTAAGCTTAGGATTGAAATGTAAATGCTGAGGACATTCAAACACGTGGGGACGACCGTTAGCACACTGGCAAAATCTATTACAGAATGCGTTTGGCATATACGTGGAACTGTAAATGACAAATTGTGAGCACGTTCCCTGACAATATTTTGGTGAATTTGAGTCTTTGACCACGACTAACGGTTTCAAACTAATATTCGATTCTACAGAGAATTGATTATTCGGATTTTGCACTCCCGTACATCCAGCATTTTGAGGCCAATCACAAACATTTAGCTTGGTATTGAAATGTAAATTACCCGGACAATCAAATACGACCGCGTGACCTATGAAACATTGACAGAATTTTCTGCAATTGACATGAGGTAAATATACCGAATTGTAACCATCAATTCTGGGACAATATCCTTTACAATAATCAGAGTCTTGTTCTGTAGACACCTTAAAGTTGTAATTATGTGGTGTTTCTAAACGTTCGGATTGACGAATGATGGAAATTCCCTGATATTTAGGTGTTCTAGTAGTAACTTTTGGTGACGATCTACAGTTATTTGTAGGGGGTATAGTTTTAATCTCTGGACAACCAGCTCTTCTGGGATAATCGCACACATTAAGTCTAATATTAAAATGCAGTTTTGCAGGACAATCCATCACAATCGGACGACCATTAGAACATTGACAAAATTTTTCACAATTACGGTGAGCTAAATAAACTGAATTGCAACCATTGAACTTAGGACAAGATCCAACGCAGTTCCCAATATCTTGAATTGTCGATATTAGAATCAATGTATTTCTTGCTGGAGAAGAAGTTGTTGAAGTTCTAGAACCTGGATTCCTGTCACTCGATGGTGAACGAGTAGTTTTCTTATTTGGTACTGGCGTAGTAGTAAAAACTTGAATAGGTACATTTTCAGTATAAGGTTCTGGTGCAGATGTTACCACTTCAATAGGCACATTGTCGGTTTGAGGTTCTGGTTCTTCTTTCTTTGGTGGTGGCGTAGGAGATACTACTTCAATCGGTACGTTTTCGGTTTGAGGTTCTGGTTCTTCTTCCTCTAGTGTTGGAGTAGGCGATACAACTTCAATAGGTACATTTTCGGTTTGAGGATCTGATTCTTCTTCCTCTGGTGTTGGTGTAGGAGTTACCACTTCAATAGGTACATTTTCAGTTTGTGGTTCTGTTTCTTCTTCCTCTAGTGTTGGAGTAGGCGATACAACTTCAATAGGTACATTTTCGGTTTGAGGTTCTGGTTCTTCCACCTCTGGTGTTGGTGTAGGAGTTACCACTTTAATAGGTACATTTTCAATTTGTGGTTCAGGCGTAGGAGATACTACTTCAATAGGTATGTTTTCGGTTTGAGGTTCTAGTTCTTTTTCCTCTAGTGTTGGAGTAGGCGAAACAACTTCAATAGGTACATTTTCGGTTTGAGGCTCTGGTTTTTCTTCCTCTGGTGTTGGTGTAGGAGTTACCACTTCAATAGGTACATTTTCAGTTTGTGGTTCTGTTTCTTCTTCCTCTGGTGTTGGTGTAGGAGTTACCACTTCAATAGGTACATTTTCAGTTTGTGGTTCTGTTTCGTCTTCCTCCAGTGTTGGAGTAGGCGGTACAACATCAATAGGTACATTTTCGGTTTGAGGTTCTGATTCTTCTTCCTCGGGTGTTGGTGTAGGAGTTACCACTTCAATAGGTACATTTTCAGTTTGTGGTTCTGGCGTAGGAGATACTACTTCAATAGGTATGTTTTCGGTTTGAGGTTCTGGATCTTTTTCCTTTGGTGTTGGTGTAGGAGTTACCACTTCAATAGGTACATTTTCAGTTTGTGGTTTTGTTTCTTCTTCCTCTAGTGTTGGAGTAGGCGATACAACTTCAATAGGTACATTTTCTGTTTGAGGTTCTAGTTCTTCTTCGTCCTGTATTGGTGTAGGAGTTACGACTTTAATTGGTACGTTTTTAGTTGGACTCTGAGGTGTTGGTGTAGGAGTTACAATTTCAATAGGTACATTTTCAGTTTGCGGTTCTGGTTCTGCTTCCTCTGATATTGGAGAAGGAGTTACAACTTCAATTGGTACATTTTCGGTTTGAGGTTCTGGTTTTTCTTCCTGTGGAACTGGCGTAAGAGTAACGAGTTCATTAGGTAAATATTCAGTTGGACTCTGAAGCTCTGGTTCTTCATAATCTGGTATATCACCACGATTTTTTCCTTCAGCTATCTTTTTACGAATATTCACAATATTTTGCAAAAGCCAATATGCGCAATCCAGTTCTAAAATTTATCACCCAATACTTATTATTTTTATACATTATCTTTTACCAGTATATTTATAGAAATAACTTATATTGTTACCTTCTAATTTTTTTTCTGAGGTTTCATGTTCGTGTTTTGCTGTTACTTGGTTTAGTAAATCGTTTATTTGATCATTTGATATGTAAGGATCTAAAATGTAAATCAATTTTTCTCGATTATGGAATATTAGTTCGAAATTTTATTTCTATTCAGTGACTTACTATAAATTATTTTAGATTTAATGCCCTGTATTATGAATGCATTTAATAAAACAAAGAGAATCAACTTATTCATTGTCGAATGAGTATAGTATTAAATGAAATTCATTTGAAGAATAGTCTGTTAATTTTCAGTTCGACAAATTTTTGAAACACATTAAAGACATTATACACATTAAAGACATATTTGAAGACATTATAGATCGTGATTTTCTACAAACACGTAAAAATCATAAAATCGTTCAAATGGAAATAATAGTAAAATTAGCATGTCAAGATAAGCCGTTTAAAAATATTTACACACGAAAGCGCTTTTTCATTTGCTCTCATCGTCAACCCTTCATTTAATAATATGAAAATTATTGAAAAATAAAATCCTAGAAACTCAGGAATTCTATTTGTCTTAAATGTGGGATATAAATATATATGTATTCTTTATCACAAACATGCAGCGGCATTGTTTGGTGAAATATCTCTGTAAATACAAATCTGGGATAATACTTTTAAACTTTTAACTATACCAAATTAACAGTATGTTTTATCAAGCTGAGCGTGGAGAAAATAATTGTATAGCAAATTAAAATTCAATTTCATCGTATGCATGTAATTTTGTTGAAGCAAATTTCAGTACAATTTGATCGTGGTTAGCATATTTTACGATTAGCAACGTACTTATAACAATAATTCATTACTTTACAAAATGCAAAACATTTAAATGTTCAAAGAATAGCTATTAACTTACTTGATTTTATAATGCTGTTTTTATGCATTAATTTTGTACAGTTTTAATTAATAATACAATTAAAAATAAAATTTACACAATATAACAATTACAAAACACCGATGAAAGAAATCTTTTGTCATTGAATATATCGATGTGAGCACGGTAATAAAAATAGGTCTGTGTCAGATTTTCATTTAAATTGTTAAAGTGATGCTTGGTACAAAGAAAATATTTTGACTACCGAAATCTGCAATAGAAAAATATGTAAACAACGAGATAATAAAAAAAATATTCCTCTCTTAGAATTATGCAGATGTATGTAGAATATATCGATGGTATACGTTATGAATCCACAAAAAATTATTATTTTTGGAAGTAAAAGAAAGTTATGGTCGTGCAGCACGCATTGGATGGGTCTTGATTATATTATTTGTCTTTATTGCGCTTTGTCTAAATTGCGATCAAGATTTAGAGAGTTACTTTTCTATCAAAGATTCGTTGTTTTTAGTTACATATGAGCTCTGTATGCGCTATAATTCCAAAATAATATCTTTGCATTGTTAGTTTCACATTATATTTTGCATTGGGTAGGCTGAATTGTCACTGTTTGCAAATCTTTTTTATCGAAAATTGTATTTTTTTCCACATGTACGAAAATCAGTTGTAGAGGTTGTTAAGCGATGTTAAAGAATAATTACTGCTTCAAAGACAGGAACTTTTACTTGTGTACCAATAGGGAAAAAGATATTAAAGAAAACGATCGGTTGACAGTTAAAATATCAAAAGATCAGTTCTATTGCAATATTTGAAAGAACGAATTCAACAAAGTTTACTAACAGTTTGTAATATTTTATTGATCTTTAAAAAATTTAAGGACATTCGCGTGAAAAATTTTCCAAGATTATATGGCGTCCTCGAGTGAGTATAAAAGTCTTTATTGTATCTAAATGTCTTACGCTCGGAACAAATCTTACGCTCATCTTTTGCTATGATCATGTACTGTTTTAATGTGCCTCTTGAGTTTACTCCTATTTCCAAATGATTTTTGACAAATTTCACATTCGACGGGTTTGCTACGATCATGTACTGATGTTATGTGCTTATTGAGGCCAGTCGTGTATCCAAATGATTTGTGACAAATCGCACATTCAAAGGGTTTGCTACCGATTATGAACTTTGTTTAAGTGACGATTGAGGTGACTCTTGTATCCAAATGATTTGTGACAAATATCACATTCAAAGGGTTTGCTCCGATTATGTACTCTATTTATGTGAATTTGGAGATGGTATTGTCGTCCAAATGATTTGTGGCAAATATTACATTCAAAGGGTTTGCTACGATCATGTACTAAACTTATTAGTTCAATCTTTAATTCACTATACAAACTATTTTTTGACCATGAAGGAAATCCGAGCTTATACATTACAAATTATCTCAATAATCCTGCCACAATTAGAAGTGTTACAAAAATTATTCGTAGTACTCAAGGAAAAATTATCTCTCTAATAGTAAGTTTATTCAGTTTGTGGTTCAATCCAGACGGTAGCAAAAAAAAAACATTTGTTAGTATTAGAAAATTATGATGTTGATTTTGATACTATTCACGAAATTTTCATTGGTGTTTCAAAAATGGTGAGAAAATCCTTTATGGATATGTACAAATGTGTGTTCAAGAGTGCGGTAAACCCAGAAGAATCAATCCATTTGAAAGCTTTGTTTGGAATCGGCTTGACTTTAACAGACATTTTTTCAGTACTGAAAAAGTCCGGATCAAATGCCTCTAAAAATTTCATAAATTTTTATAATCTTTTCTTCGATGAGCAAGGAAAAATGACGAAGTATGCTGAAGTTTTGACTCAAAATCAAGTCGGCATTGCGTCATTTTCTCGAGGTTTAAAAGTGAAAAATGGGAACGAATTTGTTGATGTTTTTAAAACTGCTTTCAACCTGTATTATGATGAAGAAAATGGATTATGGATGAAAGTCGATGATGAATGTAATTTAAACATGAAAGTAGAAGAAGACGTGGAATGTTACAGTATTACGCCGAAGAAAAAATGTACAATGAAATGTCTCAAAAGTTATAGTTTAGTATGAAATATTACTAACTTATTAATATAATTATGAACTGTAAATACAATGAAAAGTTTCTTGTAGAAGTAATTAACATGACTCGATTATTATAATTCTATTATTTGTTAAATATTGACTTTTTTAAAATTCAAATTATGTATATTTTCATTAAGAAGTTTAATTCTTAGTTCTATATTTTTATAACAATAAATTTTGGATTTATTTTACAGAAGATTTCCATTTTTTCATTTACCCTTTGAGGTTATTATTTATTGAAATAAAAAAACATTAATTAAGCAATTCAAATCCTGAGAAAATAATGGAGTAGGATCATTAACGAAAAGCTAACTTGCAATGATATTTAAAACTATAAAATAATTCTTTTTTGATTTTTAGATATTCATTTTTTTAATAAAAAATTTTTTTATTTCCCTAACTAATCGATTTCATTCTGTCATAGTAATCATAGTATGTCATGGTGGTCGCGTCAAAGTCTTTGGTAAGTATTCTCCAATCTCTTTTTTTAACACTGCGTGCGCGAAACACGGGTTTTCTAACCTTAAAGCGTCAGAAAACTCTAGTTTCTCGCAAGCAGAGTTAAAATAGTATATTTTGCAACTAGTCCGCGAGGAAGTTGACTCACCCAAGAGTCTTTGCACCCTCGCTACGCTCGAGTGAAAACAACTCTTGGATGAGTCAACTGCTTCGCGCACTTGTTACAAAATATACTATTTTTAACAATGCCCAAAGAAATGGCGTGGGTAGTTTTGGAGCATTTGATATGTTATGTTTTTATTTTGAAAGTGGGGGTTATATCACGAAGAAAAATTAAAGAACTACCCATTTGGTTTATATTTCTAAAATAGTTTTGCATATGGTTGGTGTAAATGATGATTCATAATGATTTAAAAATGTTTCTTTTTTTTAAAACGATTTCGAAGTAAGTAAAACGTGGCAAAAACTTTTACTGGAAACCCGAGCTATTTTCTAAAGAATGCCGTAGATATGAATTTTAAGTTGACTTTCTTGTTTAAATTTTCGGTATGTCTTGCATGTGTGATACTATTTTGATTATTATGGGTCGAAAATATTAATTAGAAAAATTATAATTCATAAATTATAAAGAAATAGCAAAAACATTGCCCACATTGTCACACAAAGTAAACAAGACCCATTTCAACCTTTTTAAAGTATACAAATATCAGAAATTATTTTCCTGTCAAGTTTGAAAAAAAATTATGTAATCGGTTATAATATTTTTGTGATAATACTTTGATGGTTCTTGATTCTATAACTAAAAAAGAAATAATTTACGTACTAATAAAATATGTTAAATTTATGATATTTTGTTTGTACTTAATTGCGATGCACTTTCAGCATAGTTCAGCGTTGCATATCGCGTGCTTATGAATCATTATCGTATCAAATAAACTGAGACATACAGCTCTATTAAAGATATGTTGCCTTGAGCTCACGAGAAAATTACAAATTTGTTCACTTATACGTACAAGACAATTTAATTGATCGTTTAACTTTCTTGAACAATAATTTACCTTGATTTTTATTTATTCGCTCAATGAGATAACGTAAAAGAATATGTAAATTAATATTTTGCTTCATTAACGTTTATTTAGCATTGGTTTATTTGTTTTTTACGTTAGCTTTGTTGATCAGCTTTTTTGCAAGATTTACATTGGTATGGTAAATTAAAAAATCGAAGTTTAAGATCATCTATTTCAAAAACTCTTTTATCAGCGGGTAAACTCAAAAATTGATGAAGTTTATAATTCTGCTCACAAGATCCTCCTTCTTCACAAGATTCTTTCGGGCTGAAAAAGTATGGTTTTTTTAATGTTTATAACAAATTATGAAACAATATTGAAAACAATCCGTACTTGCACTTGACAACGGTAGCTTTTTGAATAAAACCTGGAATTTGAATTATCGTGTATTCTTTATTGTCATCTGCACTCAAAGCTACTGATGGTTGTATCTGACTGACCTAAATAAAATTAACGATTAGCTGCGGTCTCCGTCTTTAATTTTAATATATGGACTAATAATATTTTATTTTTTACTCACTTCAATGGAACAATTAGTTGCAGTAATATGTTGTACCTTCGTTCATGAAAGAATGAAAAAGCACAATTACATGTTTAGTATTGATTCGATATTGGGTTCAATAATAATGTCAAATTACCAAAAATAAGAGAGTTAATCCGATGAAAAAACTGCATTTGAATAATTTTATGTCACAGTTCATGGCAGTGAATAATTTAGACGTAGCTAAGCTGAGTATAGAAAGACGACTGATAGTTGGCAAAAATACTTTATGTAGAGCAGTGCGCGAATCTTGAATCTATGCATAATTCGTATTTTTCTTTCTTTTATCTACTGACACACTCTTGGACGTTTGCAAGTTGATACTCATTATCGAGGGCATTAGTATCATCTTTTAAATGATTGTTACGTAATTATTTGTAATATAAGTAAATATTTTACTTAAATTAACGATGAGTTTAAAAATACTCGGTAAACAAACAGTAATAACGTATAAATGAGGAGTATTTTAATTGCACATTTTTTTGATTTAAACCTTTAGCAATCAAGGGAGTAAAGCAAAGATCATAAAAAAATCGAATAAAAACTTCTGTTACAACGTACTTCATTTATATAACTTCAACGCTTATCCAACATTTTTTTTATCCACATATCATTTACTACAGACGCAACATAATTTATGCAACGAAAAGTTTCCATGTGTTTACATGGAATATTGAAAAATGTATTAGAGTCGTTTGGGTCATCGACCGTCGATCAGCTGTAGACGACGTCTATTACATACAGCCTGCGATAACAGATCGCGCGCGCGCGACGACAGCACATCGCGCATTATACGCGATCGTTATTTCACTTAGCAGTCGCTCAAAGCGCGCGAAAAGCTCGACCGCAACAAGAACGTATAAACCTAATTCGAGAAAGTCCCACGCACGCACCGTCGTCGTCGATCGTCGTCACGGAATCACAATTCGCCATGAGGGCTGCACTTTTTTACGCGGCGTGCGCGCGAAGAAATCGCGACAGCATGATCCGAGTCCACGCGTTGCTGAGCGACGATGTCGAGCCGTGCCATTTGGTCGCGGCGGCCGACCCGAATCACTGGTTGATCCACGGAGAAGACGCGGGAGCCCTTCGGCACCCTTACGCAGTGCAATTGCGTACGCTGGAGGACAGCTCGTTGAACAAGAAGTTCGTGAAGAGAGCGTCGGACGGCTCGACGAGAAGCTTGATCGAAATTCTGGACAGAATCGAATTGGTCGTTCGCTGTGCGCTCTTTGCTCTGTGCTTATTTGTTATTGTTGCGCATTGCGCAATGTTTTAATTGTTATTTATTTTTGTTAAGTTGTTATAAAAAAAATCACGCGTGAATCGTACGGTGATTTGTTGTTAAAATTGTTAAATATCATTTCATCACGAAAAATTGATCGAATTTTGAAGACAGTGTTTGTATGTCATGGTCGTACTTATACTGGACGCTGTGATTCTGCGATGTACACAGTTGTACGTCTTATGTTTGAATGTATTGTTTAATTACGAACGATTGATTATCAAGAAAATTGTATGATAATCTACTATGATATGGATAGATTATATTAATTTTTACTTGCAATACTAATCCAACGGTTTTTTAATTTTATCTATTGTTAAGACGTCTTAATGCATCGATCTGAATCATGATTGGATTAGTATTGTAAATGCAATGAATGCTAATTTGTAAATTATTTTATCATTCGAGTTTTTGTGATGTTTACGAAACATTTCATATTTAGTTTTAAGATTTCACAATTTTTATAAATTGAAAAAACGATTATTACGTACACGAAAGTACATGAGAGGTGAAGGTGCTATTTTAGCTAAGCGCACAGTTTAGACCTTTGAAAATTAGGCTATCAAAAATTCTGATGTGACCCGAAGGTCAATAAAATCATAGTTAGTTAATATGTTATAAATATAATGTAACTAAGACTTATACGTAACTTTTTATTCTTTAACAACAAAAATTGTAATATTGTCAACAATATGATGTAACAATCAGTTTTCCCTACAATTGACAACTTATATTTAAATTTGTATTAACGAAGATTAATCATCTAAAAAATAGTTTAAAGTGTATCATAATATAATTTTTTTTGACTATCGAATGGTAATAATAATTGGCCATGTAAATATCAAAAAAATCGAAGTTACTCGACAATCGTCCGAGCTTCAATTTTTTTATGTTTTTACGTCATAATTATATTTATGATACATTTTACTAAAAACTTGAAAATAATAAATATTTTTTTTTACATTTACATTAAAACGCATTCTGAAGCTTATGATTCTCAATGACCTTCTTCAACCACGCCAACGATCGTTTCGGTGTTCTCTTGCGATCTTTGTCCTTAAAATCTACTTCCACCAAACCGAAATGAGCCCTGAGGAAAAGAACGAAAAAATATCAATATCTATTCCTAATAAAAATTCATCATTAGTTAGCGTACGTATATCCGGTCTCCCATTCGAAGCTATCCAAGAAGCTCCATGCTGTATGAGCCCTGACATCGCATCTATCTCTCTTGATAGCGGTGATGATCTCTCTGAAGTACGTATTGAAGTAGTGAATTCTCAATTGGTCACTGGTACTGTTCGAATCGGAGATGCCATTTTCGGTAATATAAACCGGTGGATTGTTGTACTTGGTCTTGATTTTTCTCAACGCGTCGCCGATGCCAAAAGGCACGATCTGAGTAATTTGGATATGATCAGACAATTGGCAGATTCAACGCTACAAATACAAAACCTTACTTTTAACCACGTGCTTTCAGAATCCAACCATTTTGGATCGTACGACAGGCGAAGCTTTTGATCGGATTCGTCGCTGTCATCGTGCTCCACTAGTTTCGACGTGTAATGATTCAGTCCAAAGTAATCCGACGAGCCTCTGATCAGAAAACAACATGTTTTGCAACGATTCGTGAATATTTCTAAATTAAATGATTAGATTATATCATAATTGAATCTAAACCTTATCTTCGAGATCCACTCCCTGGTGAACGACGGCAATCTAGACTCGTTCAAGCCGCTCTCCTCGCTTCTCTTGGCGACGATCTGCTTCATCAGTTCCGGATAATCGCCGGAACTGGAAAAAATCGGATTGACGCCCCAGCCGCACTCGAACTCCCAGGCGATCTTGTCCGACAGATTGTCGTCCTTGTTTTTATTATAAAAGTAGCTGCAGCCGTAGACGATGCCGATCTGGCCGCCTTGCTTCTCTCGATACTTTTTATCGTACGCGTGATAGGCCAGCGCGTGAGCTTTCAGCTGATTGTGCATGCACCGGTACTCGCCGCGTCCCAACTGCTTCAATCCAGGCGCGTAAGCTCCGGTACCGTAGGCCGCCAAGCAGTAGACGTTGGGCTCGTTGAACGTCGTGAATACCCTCACCCTAGGGCCAAACTCTTCAAAAACAAAGCGGGCATAATCCGCGAAGGCGTCAATCATACTCTCGTTCAGCCATCCGCCCTGATCCTCGAGCACTTGGGGATGGTCCCAGTGGTAGATCGTGACGAAGGGAATGATGTTGTTGATTTCCAGCTCGTCGAGGATGTCGTGATAGTAATCGACGGCTTTTTGATTGACGTTGTCGGTGTAGCCGGTGGGCAGCAGACGCGGCCAGCTCAGAGAGAAGCGAAAGTGATGGAACTGTTGAATCAAATCGTCAGTGATAAAATAATGCATTGATCACTTATTCATCAAAAGGAAAGAAATACACGTACACCGGCCTCTTTGATCATTTGAATGTCTTCCTTGTACTTATGATAAAAATCACACGACACGTCGCCATTCGACTTGTCGATTATCTTTTCAGGATACTTGTGAGTGAAGTGATCCCAATTGCTTTCGCTTTTACCTGAAGATGATGCTCATATAAATTAAATCGTCAATTATAATCAGAAATTTTGCTCACCGTCTACATTCCAAGCGCCTTCGACTTGATAGGAAGACATCGCCGTGCCAAAGAGAAACTTTTCCGGAAAAATACTGTAGCTATCGACGTTGTCGGCTTCATTGAGCTTGCAATTACCATGTTTGATAATACCGATGAGGATACAAAAAATTGCAATCAATATCTTCAACATAATGATCGATTCATCAGCCAGAAAAACCAACATGTACAGCGAGAAATGCTCGTTCAGTGTTTCAAAACCTGTTTAGAATTAATAAACAAAAAATTGATTGATGGTTAATTCGTTTTAAAATTGAATTGCTAACTAATTAACAAAGTAGTTATCATTTGTTTTATATATTTCGAGGTATGAGGCAAATATTATCATTTATTGATTTGCTATAATCTTATCATTAATTTATTTATTTTCTAGCGGTTGCGCATCTAAGGTTATGCAATAATCTTAGTCAAGACTAAACTTCATTAGATTATTAGAGTAATTAATTGAAAATTCCATCTCGATAATGTAAACGTTTAAATTAGCTAATAAACAAAGAAATTATTCGAATTCTTTAAGCAAAAAGTTTTAATAATTACCTTGGAGCTATTCGAACTTGACTAGGCTCAATTTGGCACCTCGGCGCACAGCTTCGTACTACAGTAGTTTGTGTAGTACGAGAAAGAAGAGCAGCTCATATACGCCGTGGCCGCTATTGACTGATGCTAGATCGAGATTAATTTTCAATTGTTGCGCTCACGCGTCGCAAATCGGAATCGTAGTCGAAGTTCCCTCTCTACTCTTGACACACATACTCAACCCTTATTGCCGCACACGATATCCCATGTGAACTATTTGTCTACTATTTTATACGTATAGAACGTTTGAATATCTCCGCTTGAATGATTGAATGATCATGTAAAACTGATACTTTGTAGTCGAAGGTTAAAAAGATTAAGACGGGAAGTGCCTGTATAATACGGAGAGATGTTAGAATGAAAATATTTTTCTGACAGTCATGAAATTATTTAAAGTTACATCGTGATTAGCGAGAATAAATACATTTTAAGCAAGTATTTACGTCGCGATAAATTCCGTTGATAAGTTTTCGTCGACGCAGTCGGGTCATAATGTGCAGTACACTATATACAAAAGTCGAGCTCTCGGTACGCTCGTATACGTACATTCGCGCTCGCCGCCGCTCTCGGGCTGTCATTTCACTCGCGTTTCGACTCCGCACGTCCATTTCACGCTTCAGTCATCCTAATACCGGTATAGAAAGTGAAGAAGAAGAAGGAGGAGGAGGAGGCGAGGGAAGAAAAGAGAAGCGCAGCAGCACCTCGACAAAGCATCTGCTGCTGCTGCTGCTGCTGTGCGGTGCTGCGAGGCATGTAGCAGCGCCTCTTTTTCCGCGCAAGCACGACGTGCAAAAAAAAGTAAGTAAAAAAGCGAAGCAGAAAAAGAAGAGGAAGAAGAAAAAAAGGAGGAATTGTCTCGTTTGACAGTGCGTCAATCTTCGCGATGGCACTATATACCATACATACTGACTGCAACAGCAGCAGAGCAAAGAAGCTGATGTATGCACATTCGAAATATATAGACGCGCGAGAGAGCTTTGACAAGTCTAGCATTTCAAAGGAAGCAGCAGCAACACGACGTGTACACGCCATGCAGATTCGAACCTTTCAACTTCCGGTCCAGGGAGCGTCGTCGTCGTCGTCTCTCGTTGATAATATCATCGCCGGCATACACAAACAACGAGGCGAGGCGCGCGTGCAGTTTTTATGTAGGTATACGTGCCGAGAGCCAATGTTAATAATCCTTCGAGAGAACGAAATTTCTGTATAGATAGACACACACATGACACACACACACACACACTCCGAAAAGTCCCTGGGCGAGCCGTCGTACTGTGTGTCACTTTGAAGCTCGAGCGAAATTTTTTTTTATTACGGAATACAGCGGAGTGTATCACCAGGTTTCCAATGCCTTCTTTACAATGATTACGTCGGTAGTATATGTGCGAACTTGCGTATAATACGGCTGCCACCTATGTATCTATTCGTCGCGTACGACGGATAATACGATGAAAGCAACTTTGAAACTCGTTGAAAAAAAAAAACAAACGAATTTTTTCGATGCTCGACTGAGATCGAAATTGCTGATATGGAGAGAGGGAGAAGCATGTATCATGTAAATACTTTTTAATGAACGTCCAAGAATTCAAAACTCGGATGTTTACTTCCGATCGTCTCGATAAAATTTATTCGCGTTATCGTTTTCAGGGGACCGGTCGACTTATATAAGTAATGACGAGTGAGTTTTGATAATTTTATTGACATTTTGGTGTGTTTACTAAATATACATGGAAAAATCTTTTGCAAAGTTAAAGAAGCTTGTGTTTTAAATTTTTTTTGCGTATAATTGTTCGAACTCAATCATCGTAAGATTTTTTTGCATACTCCAAACTATTATAAGATAGCCATGAAATATACTTGTATTATTGTCTCTGAAAAATCTCAACTCAAATCTCACATTCGGTAGTAACACAACAATATTTCTCATCCAGTATTTTGTGTTTATTATTCTAAACGATCGCCGTACACACGCTCCGAGCTCGTAATAAGCCATATGCCAATTACCACACGAAGCTCAGTATCTCCCGTAACGATCGCGAGCTACGGTACTCGCCGGTAAAATCCAATAATTTATAAGTAATCGCCGCAACGATGTTGCTCCATAGCTTATTGGTTTTTCTTCTCGTCGCGTCGTCCGCGCGGTGGCCGAGCTGCAACGGCAAACATTTCGTCGTCGACGAGCCACTCGACGTCAAAAAATTCATCGCGCACTACAGGCATCTGGTGGCGCCCGAAGACGCGACCGAGAGGTTGTTCGCGCGATTCGGCCGCGCCATAATCCTGTCCAAGGAGGAGGCCGTGCTGCCACTGATCGAGTGCCACTCGACGATCGGCCGATGCATCCTCGCCGACAATCACTACAAAATCAACGACGAGTACTGGGTCGAGCGCAAGAAGCACGTCCACTGCTCGAGGGACCTCAAGCCGGTCATGATGTACGAGCACGTCACGGGCTTCGCGATGCAGAGCTACCCGAACTTTTTCGTGCTCGACTGGAGATACAAGATCGACGTGGGTCTGCTGACGGTCCAGGTGGGCGACGACGTGAAGAACATAAGCCTGCCGGTGGACGCCGGCCCGAAGAAGCAGCGCAGGACCGTGCAGATCGTCTACAAGGCGGGCTGCAAAGTCGAGACGATCTACGAGGGCAACAAGCACGAGCTGCAGCCCATGGAGGACTTTGTGTTCGCCGAGGAGATCGGCGAGCTTCACACGTTCTTTACGGATTTCGATATGTGTCCACAGGGCGGCAGAGGCCTCTCGACTTGGGACGTCGAGGAGAGAAGGGACGTGGGCCCGACGTGCTTCATGAAGCATCTCGCGGACACGACGAATCTCACTCATAAAATCGGAAGCAGAGTCGAGGGCGTCAATTACTTTGACTTCTTTATGCTGGACAGAAATCAGGACGAGTGGAACGGCTACATGATAGATTACCAGCATCAGGAACCTAATGTAAGTTTGATCGATCTCGCTCGCGTTCGACAACGATTGTACGAATCGTTCTTTTTTTTTTTGCAGCTAGTCTTCAGCTTCCCGGCCGGAAACATCACCGGGAAAGATCTCCAATTCGTGTTTAATTACGAGTACACACTGGCCTGCTACGCCCAGCACCACCAAACGAATTCGTCCCTGCTCTGTCTGTACATCGACGTGCGCCAGAACAGCACGCGAAAATTCACGATGGACCACGAGACGCACATCGGCTCCTTCCAGCTGCACTACCGCAAGGACGGAGAATTTTACCTGCTGATCAAGGCCGCCCGCGAGCTCGAGAGCCAGCGCGACATATACGAGCTGTGGCGCGTCAAGATCGATGGCCAACGCGGCAAAGCCGAGGAGAAGCGCTACAACGCGTTCAGGGTGCAGCGCTTCTTGGCGCCGGGCGACGCCGTCGCCGCGTACATCGACCACTGGGACGACGACGACGAGGAGGTCGTCTGCGTGAGCTTCGAGTGCAAGCAAGATCTCTTGAGGCTGCACAATACCGGCCGCTACGCCAGCCTTCGCGACTATTACTTCAAGCGATTCTACAACAAGTGCTTCGCGAAGAAGGACTTCGACGACGCGAAGCTCAAAGTGATCGTACATAAACGTACTTAATAATAATTATTGTTACATCCCTAAAAACAATTGTAAATATTTTGAACTCGACAAGTCGAGCGAGACGTATAATAATGATAGATTTGCGAAGAAATCTAAAATATCTATATATCCCCGATGTTATGACATACGCGTTTAGTTGCTGTACGTATTATGTAAATTTATAACTAATATAACCAATATATAACACAATGAGCCATTGAGCTTCTGCCGTAAGCTCTCTGAATACACATACACAGACAGAACATTTGAATGTATAATTTCTCTCACTCATCCCGACCCCCTCGCGGCCGCATCGATATACGAAACGATAATTGAATTCCAATTAACTGCGCGATGAAAAAGAAGGTAAAAAAGAGAAAAAAAAGTAGCACTGTGGTGGTTATTATTACGTACTTGGATCGATGTATCTATATACGCTACACAGCGCATCGCGTTTCAAAACCATGTTTACATGTAATTATTGTAACGAACGTATAATGCCGATCAAGTAATACAGACGTACACAATGCTACATCAACGCACACACACACACACACACACACACAAATATATGACCACGAGAGCAGTCGATAAGCCTCGTATTAAGGATATAACACCAATCGCTCGCAGCTATCCCGGCGTAAATCGCGATTAGCCCTATTGATACACGCACGTATAGTCTACGCAAATGTGTGGGTGTGGGTGTGCATACAGCAGCGAGAGGTAGACAGATACAACGAAATGTGTGCAAGCTCGAACTTAGTAGTGGTGCGCAGGGCAGCGCGTTTGCACGTTGCACATTGTAGTACGGCGGTATAGCCAGTTTATAGGGGGCATAGTAGCACGTATATATATAAATTGTATAGGCGTAGCGAGATGCAGGCCTATACACATACGTGCATGTGTATAGGTATATCGAGAGGGTTGGCTGGGAGGGAGAACTCTAATGGATTACCGAGCCACGAAATTACTAAGTGGCGTAATTGCATTGTGGGATGTAGCCGGCTAAACTTAAGTTACAATGCCAAACGAGCGAGTGCAGTTAGACGAGCTGCTGCTGCCTCCGCTGCCGAGCGAGTACATAAGCGCGACTAATATAGGTGGCTCGATGATGTCTGCGGTGATGTTGCTGCTGTATATATGTGCTGCCTTTATTACGTTGTACCCGAGTACATGTGTAGGATGATACGCATTCTTCATTGATGATCTGCCCTATAGCCTCCCGTGTGCGTATACCGCGACGTTACTTTGTGAATGACGTTATCGTCATTCGTCTTGGGGATTGGATGATTTTTTATTTTTTGTTCTTCATTTTTTTTACATCGATGAAAATTGCCACGATTCACTGGAAAAATGTGTTGGCCTTAACAACGATCGCGTCTGCATTTTTCTTATATTATGCGCTGCTATCCCCTTTCTTTCTTCTTTTTTTTTTGCTTTCGCATCGCCGTTTGGATTTGCGCAATGATCCGATAAACGATGAATTTTGAGTGTCTGTATAGATGCTAGAGAATCGCGAGGATCGATACACGCGGGGGTAGCAGATACAGCGAGAGAGGTGGATAAAACTGGTATACATCTCTTAACAACGTGAAATGCTCGCGCGAGGTATAGCGCGCGTATAGTGTATAGATTGAGAGGAAAGAGGTGCCTGTGTGTGTGCGCGCAAATTATGGCGAAATTTCCTTTTCCGAGTCTTACTTTCCGATCGATTTTTTTCTCGTACTTTACAAACAACACCCAGTCAAAGATCCGCTGCTTCTGCTGGCGGCTACCGTTGCCGCTGCTCTATGCCAATTTCTTTCGTCTTAGGTATCTCGTTCTTTATTTCTTCTTGCTTTTCTCTATTTTTCTTTGCTCGAGCTACGTGTAATTTGAGTTCGAGGGTGTACATAGCCACGGTAGATTGGAACAAGAGGGAGAGTTCGAAAGAATTAATTTTGCTTCGCTCTTGTTGCTTTTTGTTCTTTGTAAAATTTTAATGACTGTGAGATTTTGCTTGTTTTTTCGATTGACAACAAGTTTATCGATCAAATGTGGCAAAAAAATGCTCAAAAATCCATCGATTAGAAAATTCGTCGCGCTCGCATCTATCTCAAAAGAAGTCAAGGAATAAAAATCCACTGTACTGCCACGGTGGTGCGCCGCTTTTCATTTCCTTATACGCCGCGAACTGCAAACGGAATAAATCATTGGCCTTGAGCGATTCGCTTGTCAAGAATCTATATATCTATCCTCGACTCTCGAGTTTTACTTCTTTCGCTGAAATGAAGCCTCGGGCGATATTAATCGACGCGCGCGCGCTGTATGTAAGACGGAGTTTCAGCCAATTAAATGACTAATAAGTTTCTGGGAGCTCCGTTTGAAGGGATGATGAAGAAATTTAATTGACAAGAACACTGGCAACGTCGACTTTGCAAATCGTAAATTTCAATGTGCGATAAATAAAAAATAGGTATAAATGAAAAATGAATTTCGTAATCCACTAAGAAAAAGTATCCAGTTTATTCAGATATACTATAATAACTTGCAATAGTTTTACCCATGCAAAACGAAAAATAATAATGGAATATATAAAAAAAACTTCTCGTTCATGATTTCTGGATCGGTTTTTGTTTTTCAACCTTTATTGATTAATTTTTCTACAATTTCTTCTCAACCCAATTGAGACGAGAAATAACTTCCTCCTACGCTGCCTCCCCCCTGTGAATACGAGAAACTACTGCTACTAGAGTATGCGGATTGTTGCAGCAGAGCACCGCCGAACTCGACTTGACGAGCTTTGAAACCCGATTGACCGAGTGCGACCTGGCCTCCTAATACGCTCGATTCGTAACTTCCACCCGCACCCCCGAAAGACAGAGCACCGAAGCCGGACTGGCCACCAAAGCTGGAACCACCGAAGCTAGAACCACCGGATGACCCACCTCCGACGATCGTCTCGCTCGATTGAAGTCCTCCGAAATTGAGTCCGCTGGATCCACCGCCCAATTCAGAACCACCACCCGAAGAGAATACTTGAGTCGAACCCAAACTTCCCACGTTCAAATTCCCACCACCAAGGTCTCCTCTGACTGTCTCGGTGATCGATCCGCTACTCGATCCGCCACTCGAACCACCACTCGAACCACCACTGATTTGCACATTTTCGTTACCGATCCCAACATTGAGTTGTTGAGAGCCTTGTTTTAAATCAAGACCACTACCCCCAACGTTGAGTTGTTGAGAGCCTTGAGTTAAATCCAAGCCGCCACCACCACCGACATTGAGAGATTGTGATCCTTGCGTTACGTCCAGTCCGCCGCCACCAATTTGAAGGTTTGTATTGACACCACCAACGCCTAAGCCGTCCGTTATACCGACATTTGGCGATTGCGATCCTTGTGTTATATCTACTCCGCTACCGCCGATTTGTACGTTTTGACTAACGCCACCGAGACCAACGTTCGGGGATGGCGATCCTTGCGTTACTTCTACTCCACCGCCACCGATTTGCAAGTTTCTGTTGGAACCACCTGCGCCGCCGGTCAAACCGACATTCAGCAATTGCGATCCTTGATTCAAATCTACTCCACCACCGCCAATTTGAACGTTTCCTCCGGTGCCACCGACAGTGAGTTGCTGAGTCGATTGGGATCCACTCGTCCCGCCTCCAATTTGAACATTGCCACCGTTAACGCCGACGTTTAAACCAAGAGTCGATTGTTGCGTTCCCAATGATCCTTGGGTTCTTAGCGATCCCAAAGTACCACCGAGCGATCCCAATCCCCCTGATCGACAGTTTTTTTAATGATGATTAATAGAGGTGTCATTCAAAGGCCTCTTAATCTTATACTTTTAGAATATGTTATACCTATGTTGCCTTTGACGTGAGTCGTTTGATGCAGGTGGCCCCCGTGCCTTGGGTGAGAATGAACTAGAATCATATTTTGATAAAATCAATACATACGCTATATAATAAACGCCATATAATAAAATGAGATAATTACTGTGTTCGTGAATATGAAATTTACCAAGCCCTCCATTATCACCAGTCAGGCCTAAAAAAGTCAAGTGAATTCGTTTATAAAATAAAAATTGCCTGAGTGGGTCAAAAAGAGAATATCCATGATCAGATCATGATATAGTTAACAAGTAAGCGATTAAAGAAATCATTATTTTTAATTGCAGCTTTAAGGGCTCAAAGGGGGCTTAAATAATTATATATTTCTATTTATTGTATTAAGCTGAAAAAGTGAAAAAAAATTTTTTCAGAAAACAGGCATTAGAGCCTTTTTCAATACCCCATTTGAAAGTACTTTGTCCAGTTAAATACTTACAAACACATAAATTAACTTGTATCAGCCTATGACCCTTCAGCGAAGAGCATTGAGGATATCTAAGCTGTTTGTCGTAAGATTCTAAGTGATGGCTTGACACGACTAAGTTCTATGTCATTTCATTTTCTTCGATGGATCATTTTCCATCAACGTAACCTCAAGCTAAGCATAAGATCAACTTTGACTACTTCCACATACAATTTAATAAAATATTTTATTAAAATTTATCAAAAATAATCATTAATGAATAAAATATTTTATTAAATTGTATGTGGAAGTAGTCAAAGTTGATCTTATGCTTAGCTTGAGGTTACGTTGATGGAAAATGATCCATCGAAGAAAATGAAATGACATAGAACTTAGTCGTGTCAAGCCATCACTTAGAATCTTACGACAAACAGCTTAGATATCCTCAATGCTCTTCGCTGAAGGGTCATAGGCTGATACAAGTTAATTTATGTGTTTGTAAGTATTTAACTGGACAAAGTACTTTCAAATGGGATATTGAAAAAAGCTCTAATGCCTGTTTTCTGAAAAAATTTTTTTTCACTTTTTCAGCTTAATACAATAAATAGAAATATATAATTATTTAAGCCCCCTTTGAGCCCTTAATAATTTGATTTCGTACTTTGAGAATCAAAAAAATATGATTTCTCAAGAACGTTGTAAATCAACTTCAATATTATTTTTCGAATAATCAAATTTTCGCTTTGATGTTTTTTTTAAAATTTGTCTTTCGAAATATTTACACACCGTGTAGTTATTTCAACGATTGAGCTTTTACGATAAATTTTTGAGAAATCATACTATGAACTTCTATAAAAATAATTATAATTACCTTGGAGATGTTGTTGTAACTTTCCTTGCAAAGCTTCCTTTCCTTGCTGTAATTTTCCTTGCAATGCTTCCTTTCCTTGCTGTACCTTTTCACGTAAAACTTCTTTGCGTTGTGCAACGTCTGAACTCAATTTGAACCGAATATTAGATAAAGTATATCAACAACTCAGCTTTCATGATCAATTACTGCAAAATTTTGCTACAGAAACTCTATCAAAATTAACATAATTACTTTGACGATGCTGTTGTAATTTTCCCTGCAAGGCTTCCTTTCCTTGCTGAATCTTTTCTCGTAAAACTTCTTTGCGTTGAGCCGCGTCTGAAATAATTTTGAAACGTATATTAAATTGGATGTGATAGTTGAGTTTTCAAGATCATTTTCGTAGAAATTATACTATTGACATTTTGTAAAGATAAACATAATTACCTTGTATATGCTGTTGTAATTTTCCTTGCAAAGCTTCTTTTCGTTGCGCTAAATCTGAAATCAATTTTCGAAAAGAACGTTAAATCAAAAACATCAAGCAAAAACGTTTCGAATATTAAATGGTGAGTGATTTTTTAATGCAACGAATAGTAAATTTAACTTGAAAACAGATGAGAAAATGATGTACGTCGTGGTTATGATTCACGTCTATGTCCGACGAGAGTAATCTAACTTTTTTTGACGTTTTCGTGTATTTATATCATCATGAATTGACATTATCTTAATATTTACCTTGACGTTTTTGTTGTAATTTTTGTTGTAATGCTTCTTTTTTTTCTTCTAAACCTAAAATATTGTAAAGAAAAAAATCGATTAAATACCACAATTGAATATTCCAACAAAATTGTTTACAAGTATGCATGGATTGCCATCCAAATAAATGGAAACATTTACCTTGTCGAATACCTTGTTTTTTTTCATTAAGTAATTTTTTTTTCTCAGCTAAACCTGAAATGCAATATGAATGATAAAATAAAAAATGTAATATGAATGATATAGTCGATTTTGAATTCCTAAAAAAATAACGCAATTACGTTCTCGGAGAGTTTGGTGTTGCGAACCCAAAACATTTTGATTATTGTCAGTGATAGTCGATATATCTGTGACGCCATGATTTGGCTGATTTACGTTAACATAGCCATGAATCTTTTGGTGGTAACCTGTAAAGTAGATAAAGTATTATCAAGAGGTGCGGTAGCACCTAGCCGGCAAAGTATAAAAAAAAAATTATAAAAAAATAATTTCAAAAAAAATTTATTTAAAAAGAAAAAATTAGTTAGAATTTGAAAAAATAAAATAGACAGCGAATTGAAGTGACATTCATTACATGTTTTCTAAAGGTTTTTACCTGGTTGATGAATATGTTGTTTAAAATATATTTTTCCATTTTGTATAATTTGACCATTTTGAGTTGGCTGAGGGCTATTTGGAACGTTTGTATTGACTAATCAGGCAATAGTCCAAATTTTGAAATTTTTCATGAAAAATTTTTAACAAATTAATTAAAAACTGATGAATAAAAATTGTTTTATAATAAGTGAAACTTCTTAAATTGAAAGAAAAAAAATTAAACAATAACAAATTTTCTACAAAAATGTACACTAACTTGGATCTAATCTAATTGTACACGCGGTCATACCACGAAAGTTTCATTTTAAATTAATATTTATATTTTACACAAGAGAATATTTTGAAAATAAATTAGAAAGATTTGGGAAATAATGCGAAATATAATAGAGATAATTAAGGGCAAATAAAAAACAACAACTCACTATTGGTGACAGTTTCACGAAGCTGTGTACCTTGAAGATTGCCATTTTCATTTGGTACTGAAAACAAACATGATTATAAAAAATCATTTTGACTTTTAATTTCAATTTATAGATATTTAAAGAGCTTTGAGGGAAAAATTATAATAACTCACTGTCTCCACGGAAATTGCGAACACCCTCATCGACACCACCATTAATATTTGAATTTGGTACTGTAAACACAGTTGGATATCAAAAAAATGTTTGACCATAATTGTTATTTCAATCCATCAATACTTTGAAAGTTTTTAAGGGAAAAATAATAAAAACATACTTGAACTATCTGGTAAATTTTCAATCCTCACGTCGTAATTGGGATTATCATTATTATATCCATTAACATTCGTAGTTGGTCCTTGAGATCCTCCACCAACGTTGACGTTTTGATTGACTGTTTGCACTGTCTCGGTATTTTGTCCACCGCCATTTCCAACATTAAGATTTCCTGTGGGAACATTTTCAGTGCCTAACACTTGATTTGTAGTTGTAGTTTGCACTGTCTCGGTATTTTGTCCACCGCCATTTCCAACAATAATATTTCCCGTCGGAACATTTTCTGTGCCTAATACTTGATTTGTAGTTATAGTTTGACCAACTGTTTGAAGACCCGGTTGATTATGGCCTAATTTCCTACGATCTCTTCTGTCCTGCTTCAATTTTTCGTGTTCTTCGCGCCTTTTTTGATGTGCTGTACGAAAATTATTTCTCATTTAAAAGTATTCAACGCTTTTGAAATGGGTTTCTTTACCTTCTTTAAGAGAAGCTAAATGTTCGCGCTTTTTAGCTTCGTGAGCTTCAAGTTTTTGTTTGTGATTCAGTCTATGTTGTTCCAACTTAGAAAGACCATTCGTAACAATCGTTTGACCATTTTGACCACCATTGCCTAAATTTTTCATAGATTAGCTTATGTGTGAAAAATATATGAAATATAAAAAAGCTCACCTTGAGTTTGAGAGCCTCCACTTTCCACAGATTGAATGTTACCACCGTTGGATACTTGACTTTGTCCAACGCCATTAAATTCGTTTGGTACGTTGTTTACCTCGACTACGTTTTGGCTATTTCCAACGCCAGGAGAAACTTGGTTTGGTACCCCTTCAAGTGTACCTCCAGTATTTCCATAACTATATTCTACTTGTTGAATCTGCCCCCCATTATTTCCAAATCCATACTCTCCTCCTTGTAAGGAACCTACGTTATTTCCAGATTGATATTCAACTCCTTGCACTGAATTTCCATTACTTCCAGATCCAGACTGAATTGTTTCAAAAAAACTTTGATCGCCTCCAGATCCTCCTTGGAACTCAGTTTGTTGCAACGAACCCCCATTGCTTAAATATCCTCCTTGGAACTCAGTTTGTTGCAACGAACCCCCATTATTTAAAGACCCACCTTGGAACTCCGTTTGTTGCAACGAGCCCCCATTATTTAGAGATCCTCCTTGGAACTCCGTTTGTTGCAACGAGCCCCCATTATATAAAGATCCATACTCTACTTCTTGAACAGAACCTCCATAATTCCCCGATCCTCCTGAATACTGCAATGTTTCTTGGACCGAACCTCCATAGTTACCACTGGACTGTGAATGGCCAAGGCGACCTGAGCCGCCATGTAAACGACGGTCTGTAAATATTTCAGTAGTTAGTTTTACAATAGATCATGCAAATATCAAACGTATTTTTATTGTTATTTACGTAAAAGATGAGTAGCTTTGATTGAGCTGATAATTGTTAAAAATCCGAAAAAAATTATTTTGAACTCCATCGCTAGCGGTGAAATGAAAACTCTACTTCATAAACAATTTAATTTCAATTATTTCACTATTTATAATACTTAGCATCAGAACGTGATTGACGTTAAAGAGAAAATTTAACTGGTTTAAATCGTGATTTGCGCAGCTAAAAAAATGTCGTAAAGCGCACACGTCAATACAGAAACTGGTTTTCAAAGCAATTGTTAGAACTAGAAAAGTTGATTATCACTAGTTATGATTCAAAATCATAACTTAGATGTTCTTAATAACTATCGAAGAAATACAATTTTTAAACTTGCCAAAAATTTGTAAATGATTTCCACGTTGAGAATATATTTAAAATTCCTCTTTCTCACTGTCTATGATAAAAATGATAGAAACAATATAATAAGCATACAAAATGAATATTTAACAGAATAAATATATGAACAATGTATGATAATTCTGTTATTCACGACAGAACTGCCGTTGATCGTTGTTATATGTACTGGTCTGGGCATTTATTTATTGTTATAAGTCGTTATTAATAAAGTCTGATTTTTTTTTTAGTTAATTGTTCATATAAAATTTTTTTGCTTCGTGTTAAATATTCACCAAATCAGCATTAGTATGTAAAACGTCATTTTAAAAACAATTTTTTTTATTTTTATTAATTTAGGGACAATTTTAAATTATATATTACAAACAAACGCTATTCTCTGCAAAAATGACTGCGGACGAGTCAAGGCCGTATTCCACGGTTATTGTTCTAGAAATTTGTTCACAACTCATAAGATGAATGGACAAATTTGTTGGACTAGGATGGAGGTTAGTCAAAAGTGTTACGGCGGGGTTTTGAAGGGATTCAAAATGGAATGGATCAAGAACATGTAGGTAGGAATTTAGGTGAGAACAGTGTTAAATATTCTGTAATTACAGATCTCGTTATACATTCGTCAATGGATCATCAAATCGACCTTGATTCATGAAGTAGTGTTCGTTTACCCTTCTTATAATCATGGAAGATGGGATTACCATTTATTACCCGACGAAAAACTTTAGAATTATAGGCAATTGGCAGATGGTTACGAGCTCATAGGCACTTATGCACTTATTTTACGACGCATCGACTCAATCAAGTATATAATCACGACCTAAACTGAACATCGATCGTTCACTAAATATGCATGTACATTATTAGTATTTTTTTAAATTTTATTTTAGGCAATTGGATTCTTAAAAGTAAATATCCCTCATCCGTAGTTTTTATGATGTTTATTTTACAATTGATTGACTTATAAGTTTAATTACAATACTTTGATTTATTAAATTTAATAATCTAATAAAGACTTTGCTATATGAATAAGACAAATATTTTTTCACGATTCCAACATAATTACTGGAAATTACGTATGGTTTGATCGTCTCTGAGGATGATCCGTGATGTATAATGGCCCAATTTCATTATTAATATTTTCAAATTGAATTACTCGACGGCGTCCGACTCTTGAACCCTGTTCATTTTCCGATCCTTCATCTCCTGGTGCGGAATCGTCGTCAGAATCCAGTGCGTTTTCGTCATCGGAAACACGGGGGCTTCCATCGGAAGAAGAATCGTCTCCGTCGTTATCTACTGTGTCCTCTCCAAGGTGTTCTGGTGGTATAGGGTTTTCGTTTTGAGGTTCGTAGTCGGATGCGTATTCCTCGTCTACCTCTGGTGGTATAGGTTCGACCATGTCACCTCTAAATGGTACTCCAGCTTTCACTGAAATTTAAAAATAATTTTATTATTATATTAAAAATCGGCATCTAAGTTACACGAGCGATTTTATAGAAAATTAACTTAAAATCTATTTTAATCAATTGAAAATAGACCAATCATTAGAATTAAATTTACTTGTATCTCGTAAATATTTAATTATAAATCTCAAACTCCAAGAATAAATAAGTTGTGATATCGATAATGAGAGTCAGCCCGCTTTTTAACGTGCAAAAATAAATCAAAAAATCGTCAAGAAAGTATGAGATTTTCCACGTGCCAATTAATGTAGAAAAACAATTGACTATTTTTGTGATTGAAAGTAGGCAACCGAAAGTGGCAACTATATTTTCGATTTAATTATTCGAAGTTTCTTTCAAGTTCTTGAAGTTTTACATTGTTGTTTACTCTTACCATCAATAATGAGAAAGGCTTGAAAAGTTACGATAATAGCGATTGAAAATAAACGAAGCCACATTTTGAAATATTAATATGAGAAATTTACTCGATACTTCTTTCTCACCTATAAATACCCGCATAGTCGTGACGAAACTATTAATTTCAAGAATAATAAAAGAGAGTGTCGCTCGTTTAATTTAAAAATGCTTCATTGCAAGGAATTGTTTTTACTTGAGATTAAAATATATTCATTTTCTTGATGTAAAATTCAATTACAAAAACAATTCAAAAACTGAGACATACAAACAACTTTCTTTGAATCGTAAGATGTAAAAATGATTTTCAAGTTTAATTTAATTCTTTTTGAAAGAAAAGTGAAATGCTAAAGTAAATGTACTTTGAAATATTTCAAAATGCAAAAGAAATAAATTTTACAAGATCCATCTTATAACACACATTCATTGAAATTAAAGACGAGCTCGGTTTATTCTCAGCATTTTGCATTACACAGCAGTAGCATCTATCAAGGACTAACTTTGAGTCTGCAAAACCAAATTCTTTCGACTACTAGCCTCATTGAGGATGCAGGGCATGCGATTTTCGACGAAAAGGTGTTGAGCGATTTTCGTCGCGTGCGCCTCGTTTCCGCCGATTGATGCACTTTTATAGTGCGGCGGTGGTGCACGAGGACAAATGGTTAGAATTTCGGCGAAATTTTTCTATCGTCGAACGTGCCACCGAGGATTTATTTGGATGAATTTTGATTTCGCGCGAATTCTCTGAAGGTTTACTGGGTCGACACGCGCAGGCTGAATCATTGCAGGATTCGAATGAAAACAATACATTTGATTTATCAGCATATACATCGAACGGGAATTGAGTTATCTTATATCCGTGTAGTACAAGCCTGGATGTAAATTATAATAGAGAGTCTCGAGCATTACTTGGAGTAGGTAAGTTTAGGTGAAAACATAAAGGAATTACAATAAATAATAAACTTTAACAGTACAATGTATAACTTATTATTTATTTTATTTGCTACATTAATTATAATCTATTACTAGTACAATCATTAACAATACACTTGAACAATGTAGTGCACTTACTAATTGTACGATTAAAGATGACGAAGACGAACGTAACTGGTTCGGTCCTACGAGATCCAGCCACGAGTTAGTCGAGCTTGCGAGTTTCTATACTGAATAATTAGCACGCGCGTCACGACTGATCGATTAAAACAATAAGATGACGAAGTCTCGCTGATGACTAGATGCGACTCGAACCAGTGTAGTTTCGCGAGATCACTCGAATGAAAATAGGCGAATGATGCAAGTCGCCGAGATAGAGCCGTCACGGGATCGGGCTGTTGGAGAAATGAACCCCGAGCGATCCGCGACAGGGCATTTTATACTTTCGCACGAGATCGTCCCTACCCTGATGCAGAGTGCAGGAAAAAAAATCAGGGTTATTCCCGAAGGCTCGAAAACTCGGAAGTTAACTTCCCACAGTGCGCAGTGGTTTTTCCCGTTATAGCGCATCGCTGGTATACGTAATTCCTAACTTTTACTCGTCAAATAATAGTCATACCCGCGCGTGAATGAGTCATATCGAATGAAATTATGCATTTGGAGTAATGTCATCTATGTCATCACCAATATTTTAAAAAAATATTAAGTAACGTTGTAGACAGTATCACTTGTCTTTGATTAATCTTTCACTCTTACTCTACCGCGTAGAATCTCGCGTTTCGAAATATGTTAAAACTTTCTAACCGAATTATCAAATTAAAAAAGAGCGACTCGCAAGTATACAGCGTTTACGTATGCACACGGGAATATATTCCTGTCTCTCTGTCCTTCGCTTATATATAAAAGTGCGAGCTCAGAGTCGCTACGTTGTCGGGGGGTAATATGCCTGCACCAAGCTCTATATACAAGTACATACGCGCACACGCACACAAAGAGCGAGAAATGTCATCTCTCTAGGATGTGCGTCCAGCGAGGAATAATTACGTCGCTGCGCGAAAGTTGCTGGGAAACTTCAGCTCTCTGCCGACGAGAGTCATGCGATACAGCGCCGCACCGAGATTCGCGCGCGTATACCCACTGTATAACAACTGCCGTGTGCAGGACATTTGTATTACCTGTCCTTTCGTCGTCGTCGTAGCAAAATTTTCCTACGTCACCCGATGCGCAAGCGACGCTCCGTGTGCGCAACGAGCTTTTATATGGAAATTGATGAGCCGACTATCATACAGCGCATTGCGCGACAGTCGACTGTCGAAAAGCTGGCCGCGAAGGCAGGTAAATTCGAATCGACGTGATAATGCTTTTTATTCCTGTGCGAAGGGTGCAAAAGGATGAACGGCCTGACATAGAGCTCGAGGGGCAAAAACGCATGCCACGCCGAAGCAGCAGCACCGATAAAAAGCGATAAAGTAAACCAGGGATGAATAATATATACAAACGTATGGCCCTGTGCACCGCTCGGAATTCCGTGAATACGAAACTTCTGTTTCCTTCCTATATTTCTGTAATATACCACACATACGCGCGCCACATGCATAGGCGTATAGCAGCAGCAGCAGCAGCAGTAACGGAAAGCGAAGCAAAGGAGCCGGAAAATAGGCAAAACAGCATCGCTTTCGGGTTCTGTGGCTTTTCACGGTGCTCTCCTACACATATACAGGTCCACCAGCTGCACTTTGGCTGTTATATATATCGTTACACGGCCTCGTCGAAGATGTATTAACATTAATGCTCGGGGATTTACAGTGACATGATTTTCTTATAATCCAAGTGTGCACTTGCGATCGTACGAGGCAATGGCACCCACACGTACAGCTGGTATACCATATGTTTATTATTATACGCGTGTGCAAGCTCGAGCGCGGCATGCATACACACACACACACACACACACATGCAGATCGAGCCCTCGTGAGAAAAGCCAGGATTCGCTCATATACGCACAGGCAACTGCAGCGCAAAGTTATCAGCGCCGCGCGTTAATACATATATAAATTCATAATACACGTGCTCGTGAACGGTATAAACTTTACCCGACGCAATGTATAGATATATTAACGTGTTACAATGAGCCACGACGCGAGGCATGTCGACAAAGCGACAGCGGAACCATATTTCAGGTTTGCATCCGTAGGCATATGTTTTTGTGTGCAAGTATAAATACGTGAAAGCTTCATGCGATCGGTGCTCGCGAGATGAAAAGCTGTCGTGATGTCCAGAGAGCAGTACAGTTGCGTAGTTTTATCGGTAGATGGCGACGCAACCAACAAAAATACATCGAAAATATTTGTTTGAATGTTTTTTTCATTCTTATAGAAATTAGTCAAAGAATTTCTTGGTTTTTTCCTGAATATTCGAATAGGAGTTGATAGTATTGCAGTCAAATATTTTACTTCGTGATTCATGACAATTTTATTATTTTTGACACTTTTCCTTGACAAATTTCGTGAGTCAAAAAACTATTAAAGCTCGGTATAAATTTCAATGAATTTTACTGCCTCGATCATTGTCAATTTTGGTTTTTATAAATTATAAAAAATTATAAAATATAGACTACTGAAAATGTTTAAGATATTTTTTTCAATCTGCGTAATTTACGCAATCTCCATGCTGCATAACACTCAAGCAAAATTAGGTATGGTTTATACATCACAACTCATATCCCAATACTTGATTCGATCTAAAAACAATCACGGAAATTATGAATAACATTTCTGCTCAGAAGATCACCCAGAACCTGCGTCGTGCGATACTCCGCTCGAAGTAGCTTATCAAGCCGATGGTGGCGGCGATTACTACGTCTACGACCCGGAAGCGGATCATTGTCTCAGGACCAGTGTGCCGAATTACGCGTTCTCGACGCGAGAGGAATGCGAACAAGAGTGCCAATAAATGGATGTATTTTAAAATCGAATTAACGATTTTGTACAATTTGAACTTCATTGTTATTTCGAGATTATTTTAACCTTATAATAATATGAATCAAAATAATCAAAAATATATTACAGACATCCCTCCATATTAGCGGTTTATGTATTCACGAATTTGGCTTATTAGCGAGTTTGTAAATGCGGCTATCCTTCCATATTCGTGTATGCAGTTACGCGGTTTTTTGTTGCGATTTCAAAAAAAACATATTCTAAGGAGTTCGATTTTCATCTTTGACATTTTCTGAAATGTAACGTGAAACTGAAATAAAATTATTAAGATCACCACGAGTTCTTGATCCCAATTACATTTGCCAGCTAATGGAGAAAGAAATTTGAGATTTTAACAACACTTGTCGAAACGCTTCAATTGACTCACTCAAACGCGACAATTACTCAACTAGATAGCTCATTTTGTAAATATTGTTTTGGTTCGCCGGAGACATGGACGGAAAAAGTGATCGTCAGAATTTGAGGATGTTAATAAAAGAGCCTTTTAATTGAAAAAAGATGTTGGAGTAAAGTTTACTGGGGGCAGGGGTAGACGAGGAGTAAAACGATTAACTATGTATCGATGATTAAAACTTTATTTTATTAAGTAAAATTGCGCGAGGCAATAAAAACAATCTAGCGGCTCGTCGCTGCGCACACAGTGGCAGGCGTACATTGAGTAGTAGTTACTCTGCGTGTGCGGGGCCAAGCCGGCAGGTCCGCGCACGCAGCACGTGCACATAGAGGGGGTAGCAGGGAAGTGTAGGACAAGCCCGCACTGATTGTGCCTACGGCGGGAGGCTCCCTCTAACAAAAGACATTGAAACTTTCACATCATACGGGAATCATGTATATTACAAAAAAGCACGATTACAGGCACTGATATTTTGAGTACAACTACTAATCCAACGCGCAATGTGCTTAATGATTTCGATGTTGCAAGAATGCATCAAGTACAAAAAAATAGAGATAGGTTAGCACTCGATCATTGTCACAATAATGCTGTGCGAGTGTCAAGAAATTGCGTTAGGGGGTACAGACGACAGTGCTCAATGGTAAAGAGCCAATTGTAAATGATGAAAATTTTAGGGAAATTTTACGTGTGAGAGTCAAGTGCGGCGATGAAAATTTAAAAATGCATACAAAAATACATCCTTGAATACCATGTATACCAGCCCGACGATTCAAAATCAATTATAGATATTTGCGTTTCTATGAAATAGAAAAACAAATTATCAGCTATATCAACGAGGCAAAAGTATTTTCACTCTTCAACGATAAAACGGCGGATATATCGGGTCATGAGCGAATGACCATATGTAAACTATACATAAAAAAGTGATAAAGTAGTAGAATTTGTCCGTCTAGAACAAGCATCAGGCAAATTTATAATCATTGCAATTTTCAATTAAATACGTAAAGTTGGTCTCAACAATGATAATATTGTTGGGTAAGGTTATGATGGAGCTGCAGCAATGAAAGGGTCAATAGAAGGTGTGTACTCTCATTGAATTTAGCACTATGTCATTTGTGCAAAATTCAGAGTGTGAGAACTCATATTGGTACTGTCAAGTCAGTGATTAATTTATTTAAAAAATCATTAAAAAGAATGGCTACACTTCGTGTTAAATTAAGCATTGTTGTGCCATAATGCACAACAAATACACTAACATCTGTGTGCGAGACAAGGTAAAAAATGCATGTAGTCAAAATCGACTGAGTGGATAAATATCGATGATTTGTATAAAAAGTTTGTCGATACTTCAAACATTAAAATTTCTCGAGCTCACTTTTATAGGTTGTGACCTTTTTGGGTAATTCATCAAAAATGCTCAGCGAGAGATACCTGTCGCTGTAAAACACACACAAACCTTTTATTTTGTTTTCAATAGATTGCGTTTAAATGGCATAATGAGAGAGAAAAAGGTTTCGTCATTTCAAAAAAGTTTATTTTGCAGTACAGAAAATAAAAATTATATGTTTGGACAGTGCGACAAATGCAAAAATAGAAATTTATTCCAAATATTTCCTCTTGACGCTATGACTACGTATCGCTTGTGGGTTACAGAAAAGATCGTTCGTTCTGGAGTAAAAAATTAAATTATAACGTTATGGTTACGGATCAAACAGATTTTTTTTGTACAAATCAAGAACTAGTAGATATTTTCAATAAAATGTTACCGATGTTTTCAAAACATTCTTTTATAACGACGAATCAATTTAAAAATTTAAAATTCATTCGAGAGAATCTAGCACGAGATGAAATTCTAATAATTATAGATTTCTCTCAAAATAATTTATGCAAGTATGGGAGCGAAATTCAAAGTGTACATTTCGGAGCTTCTAAAAAACAAGTTTTGTTGCAAACGGGGGGATT